AAAAACATATACTAACAATATAAAAAGATATGACGGAATTGAACATTTATATCAATAAAAATTCTGAAAAAAAAATATATTAAAAAAGATCCAATCATATCAATCATGTAATGCCCCAAATGAACCCGTAGTGACATTCTTTCGGTATTTAATTTTAGGACACAAAACTCTTCCGATACAGATTTTATACAGAAATTATAATTTAATACTCCCTTCGTCCCATAATTATTGTTTAGTTTGGATTGTCATTTTTAGTTTAAATTACACTAAAATGAAATTTCAAACTGGACAATAATTTTGGGACAGAGGGAGTATATAATATAAAATAGAAAGGAAAAATTTGGGACTTTTAGGAGTTGAAGAGGGTCTACTTGAATTCAATTTTGGGGGCCTAAGGCTTGATTAAATATTGATGGTGGTGCGTGGCCTATGGTTGTCCCAAACCAACCGCACCAGGTTGTCGGCGGCAACCTACTATAAGCCGCTTTGGCGGTGCAATATGCCTACACGTATTCTACCAATCCTAAATTTGTATAATTGTATCCATGGAACAACAAATACGGTTCTTTGAAATTATAATTAGGAATATTGAAAAGTAAATAAAACTAGGAAATTAATATTGCTAGTCAAACATTCGTCTTAAAATTTATCACATAAATGTAAAAGGGAGGATTTTTTTTTTTTCTAAAAAGAAGCCAAAATTTTGAATTATATTATTGTCTCAAGTCTCAACGATAGTCGACTCTAAATATTAATGGATTTTATAAATAATATTCATGTTAAATAAACTACAGAAAAAATTCCCCATTATATGTATTATCTACCTCTCACACACTAATTGAGTGTTAAACATTCTACATTGATGATGAACGAATTAAGTAGCTTATTTTGGCTTTTAAAAAAAAAATGATGAAGAAGAAAGAATCTAGTAATATCATTTTTTTTTTCAGATATATATATATATATATATTTTTAAAAAACAGTTGAGTGGGGTTAGAAGCTTTGCTTTTTTCACCAGATAAGTGAAACAAAACCATGTTGTGCATGTATTACCATTGTCAATTGTCATTGTGCAGCCAAAAATAGTAAGAAGTAGTAGTTCTGATGCTTCTCATTCGACTGGACGACTCAAGAGATGTACAATTTACAATTATTCATCACGCACAGCCCAGTATATAGAATTGGTATACTGTGGTTGTTAGCTGTACTATATATCCTCATAAATTAAAGAGAATGCACATGACATTTTACAATATTCTGATTGTTGTTACCTAATGGAAGAAGTCTATTCTGAAAAGAAAATGAAAACGTTAGTCCCGCATGTTCAAATGCTTTTCAGATAATACTTGCGGAATTGATCCCATTAATTCAATAACCAGATTAATTTTCTCTTTTTTTTTTTAAAAAAAAAGAAAAACCTAAGAAGAAATTATTAGTATTAGTATTAAATTGGAAAAAAATATAAAGTGAGATAATAGAAGATGGGGGGAATCCTAGAAAGAAAGAGAACCTAGGACCGTATGTACAACTTTTTTAATTACTCCTAAGATTCGAAGGCTGCGAGAGAGTGTGCGACAGTTACTTTACAGCAAAATGAGGCAGTAAACTGTAAAAGTTGAGCAGATCAGAATTCAGAGCTACCACCTATTCTGCCTTAGTCTCTGTAGCCGATGTCTCAATTCTCCGACACCATTTTTTCTTTTCTTGCTTGCGTAGTCAACCCGTTTTGTTGAATTCTCCAATTTCAAACTCATATAAAAACAAGCAACTTTTTACCCGTTTTGGTATTCTTCTTAGACCACATGTATTGGAAGAACTCATTAGAAGAGATGGTGTGTTTGGTGGACTATGGTTTGTAGCTTTCTAATTGTCATTAATTAATCAGCTCTTTATATAATAATAAGAATCCGGACTGTTTACAGAGAAATTTTTCCAAAAATTATGGGGCTTTATCGCTCAACTTCGTGGAGTAAAGTGTGAACATACTATATTAATTTTCTATTCTCACTTGCAATGTCCAAAGCGGATAATTTTACACTAAATTATCTTATTATAGAAAGAGTCATAAATTCACGAAGGGAGGGCGAGATCTACCAAATTAACTAGTATTCATTCCGTCCAAAAAATAGTCCGCATTGAGTTTTGATTTTTGTACGGTTTTTAATATACATTTGAAAACTCAACGTGGACTATTTTTGTGGGACATAGGTAATATTTTTGTAAGCAGGTGTGAAAATGAGTTAAATTCACAATTATTTGCCAAAAATTGTAATATATCTTTATTGCATAAAAAAAGAAAAAGAAAAAAGAGTCCTGTAACCTTTTCCCGTTGCTTCGTCACTCAGTGGACTATGATGAAAGTTTGTCAACATAACCATTTAAGTCGAATGGCATTTTGACTTTACCATTATATAAGGAGAATTTTGTGTGTGTGTGTGTGTGGAGAATAGAAATGTGTATTCTCGTAATGTATTTATACCCTTGTAGAGTACTTCCTCGAAAATGAAATGAAATTATGTGGGTTCGTATTATTTAGTAATTCTGCGTTTAAATCGCTTCCCAAATAATACTACTTAAAATATTTTTCATCAGGTGGAGCGTGGGGCTGGAAAACATAAAATTTGAAAGGATGGTGCTTTGATTGAGTACTCATTGCCACATGTCACGTCATTGACTAAGTGGTAAATTTCAGTACATTTGTAGGGGGGGAAGAGAACACATTGAAATGTGTCAAAGATCTAAGGCTGGCTTCTTTAAATTCGATCAGCCTACAAAAGTATATTAGGAACCCTCTCTACACAGTCCTCTATACATCATCAGTATAGCCCTCTGAAAAATGCATTTATAGCTTTGTCATTAATGTCCAATACTCCAAACGTGAAGTCCAGAATTTCCTCAATCAGCCGGTACGGTCGGAAGAACGTCCGAGTCAATTATCACCTAGAAAAATTTGAAAAGAAGAAATTCACAACAATTCTCATTTGACTTTCTTTTTTCACTGTTCAAGTAAACTATAAATACTCACCGTCACAAATTTCAAAACCAATTTAACTAAAAATATGCATAGTTAAAGCAAGCACTTTTGCATGATCTTCGTTATTAGTATAAGCATTAATTGATGAGCATAATTGTTTCCATCCGCATCAAAGATTAATGCATTTTCTGCTTCAAATCGTTATCCAAGATTAAGAAATTAACAACCGTCATTGATATCAAACAATGAAGAGAATGTGACCTCTTAAACAATTCTCGAATATATTTGCACAAGAGAACGAGAATTATTATGAGTTCAATATGTGTCGATTTAATTGTTCAGCAGACATAAAATTACATAGTGCACCTAACATTCTCTTAAACATTTAGTAATAATACTCCATATGTCTCAAAATTATCCAGTTTGAATTTTCACTTTTAATTTGATCTGTATTAAAACTGGAAATCTAATTTATACAATAATTTCGGGATATACGGAGTATGTAAGTAAAGAATTTGAATTATGATATTAGAAACTATTTTCTGCGCTCTTTTTTTTTTTATAGTTTTTCTTAAAACGAATACTCATGTAGGAGAAGTTATTTTCCCGTACAAAAGTAAAAAAAAAAGGGAACTAATGGTTTGTGTAAAAAAATGGGGGGAGACAAGGATCGGATAGAAAGGGACTCACGTGGCAACCAGTGTAGACGCAACAATCAACTAATGAGCTGGAAGGGGAGGTTCAAAGTTTTTTTTGGGAGAGCTGGACTGTCACTTAACCGAGTGAATGCAGTGGTGTGCCTTTGGTGCCGGTGGTCCATTTCCAATCTTCCCCATCTCATCCAGCTCACCCACCTGTCACTAAAGCAAAAACCCCACTTTTTTGTTACTCGAATACTATCTCACACTTTCCAAAGGCTAATCTCGTCATTTCGCAGTCAACTACCCAAAAAATCTAACTACATATTCTTTAAATAGATATATTTCATTCACAATTAGCAAATTAATTATTCACTTTTTTCTCATTTCATTACTACTCTATCTGTTCCAAAAAATTAATTCACATTGAATTTTGAGATTTATACTGCTTTTAATACTAATTTCAAAACGCAGTGTAAACTTTTTTTGGGACATAAATAATACTTTTTATGTATAATAAATTAATTTACTTTTAATTAAACAATTTTTCTTAAACAGATGAAATGTTTAATCAGAGTTAATGAAATCGATAAGATATTGTGTACAATTTGGAAATATAAATTATGGGAACAGTGTTCCCTTCTGACAACGTAACTAAATATAAAAATGGAAAGTTTTCAGTTTTAAGGAAAAACATATTAAAAGTTTGAGGATTTTGATCCGTCGTTGACCGGGTTATTTGTGGAATTTGGATATGGTTTTACCTTATGCTTGTGATTTACTCCAAGAATTTATCCTGCCTTGTTTGATTCGCAAAATTAATTTTCCCAAACGTAAGCTCATGTAAGAATGGACAATACACGAGGAATGCAAGTTTTAATTTTATGTACTCTCTCACTCCACATTGTAACTTATCAATTATATATTTCTCCGCATTGAAATTATTATCTAGTTCAAATTATTTTTTTAATATAAATATTAAAAGTTAGAAATTTAAACTGAACAAACGTTATAGAACAGAAACAATATTTAAAAGTGAAAGTAATTGGTTCAACTACAAAAGAGGTAAAGAAATACAGTTTAAAATTATAAAATGCTCCATCTGTCCTAAAATTATTGTATAGTTTAAATTTTCACGTTTAGTTTATTTTGTACTAAAAAATAAAAATCCAAACTGGACAATGATTTTAGAACGGAGAGAGTAATTTCTTTTACATTTTCTCAAACGTATTACAACAAATATACTATTAAAAATACAGCATAAAAAAATTATTACTTTTGAGTCTTAAGATGGGAATTATTTCTAATTTACTCCAAACACACACACAAACAGATACGATGTGTGTTTAAAATATTTTGGTTGTGTAATGAGATTATTATACATATAAATAAAATAAGGAAAAGGCTGCTGTATTGGAGCTTTCCAACGCCCTGCCTTTTAAGTGACACCTAATTGCGAATATTTTTTGACATCCTCCCCCTTCCCTCCCTCGGCTTCACTTCCTCTTTGTCATTTCCCACGCCCCCCACCCACTTCCCCACTCTCCTTCCACCACCACCATCACCGCCGCGGAGCCACCTCCGCCACCGCCGTCTCCGCCGTCTGCTTCCCCTCTCTTCCCATAATACTGCATTTGACTGTTTAGATCTTCCACTTTAAGCTAACATACAAAATAGCATAAAGCAAATTTGTACTTTGTTCTTCTTTTTTTAGCACAGTAAAAGTGTGTAAGAGCTGCATTTGGCAGTGTTGTTTCCAGTTGGTGAGTAAATGTTAAAGTGATTGATTTTTTACTGATCTTTCGGTTACATATACTCTACTAGTGATTTTCGGCGTCTCTGGCGTCATTCCCACTCTGATTTCGCAAGCAATTTCAAAAAGTTTTTTTTTTTTTAATTCGAATCCTTTTTTTTTTCATTTATTTAAATAAATTGTTCTTTTGATTCTTTTTCTCCCCTCTATATAATTTTCCGCTTCCGTCTTGCTCACTAATCCTCATTTTTTCTGTCGGTGCGGTTTGCATTTTCTTTACAAGTTTTCCTGAAAGGTATAAACAAATTTTGTGCTTATTCCAAAATTTGGTTCAATCTAAATCCTGATCAGACTTTTGATCGCGATATCTTGAGCTTCATTTGCTTCGATTCTTCTGTTTTTGCCGCTATCAAGAATTCTTTTGGGGGTTCATTTTAAGGTTCGAGTGTTTGTTGCTGACTGCAGATTTCTGGTGTTAAAATGCAGTTATTTTTTTTGTGGATATATTGTGTGCTTGAGGCATAAATACGCCTTTGGGGGGAAAAGGAAGAAGGAAAAAAAGAGTTCTTATTGAGGTAATGGATTTTATGCCATTCATACTCTGAAGCTTAGATATGAAAAGGATTTAGATATGAAAAGGATTCCTGTTATTTGTGTGTATAATGCAAATTCAGAATGAGGTTGAATCCAATTTTTTTTTCTGCAATGCATGTCAATTAAAATTTCTATAATTGCTAAATAAATTTACATTTTTGGATATTTATATAAATATTTTTTTGAAAAATTACATGAATGTCATGTTGGAGGCATGTTTTCTTTTTTTCTGGTGGTCTGTCCCTTTCCATATCCTACCCTGCTTAGATTTTTAATTGCCTAGCTAGGCTGGGCTGCTAGTTGTATTCCTTCTCTTTATTTTAAAATTAAAATGACATTATGTGAGCCTATAATGATGATGAATTAGTTTCTCCAACCCACCATTTGATTGCTCCTTGAAATTGAAGGAATATCTTGATTCTCAATTATTATTGGGCAAATCAGGTATTACCATCATTCCTTTGTTGAATGCTTATGCTCCTTGATTATTCTTCAAGCCAAACTGTCGGTTCTGTTTATCTGCAGCTTCTCTGTATTGTAACCCTGTTTGTGCTTCAACATAAACATTGCACTCTACTGTAAAGAGGGATTGAAAAATTTTACTGTATCAGTTTCTGCATTTGTTCTTCTACTCAATGAATATCCATATGCTTTCTTCTGTTCATGTTCTATCCTATGCAATCCCACCTTATGATATGAAGGGTTTCCTGTTGTCTGCTATGTTCTTGAAGCATCAACCAGAGGTCAAATTTGGTTTTTTTTTTTTTTTTTTTTTTTGTAGAGGGTCCTGTTGACAGGTTTTTATCTTTTTAGAGTCTGCAATATGTATTCTTCAGAAATGGAAGATGCTGCTGTGGATGTTTTGGCTTTAAAGTTGTTCTTACAATGATTTGGATGAAATAACTGTTTACAAATGCTCTCTGTATTTGAAGTTAGTCTTACCATCGATCTAGCTGATATATGAGCGTTTCGAACTCTTGGGTCTCTGTAATTTTCCCCTTTACTTTCTGTGGTGGTATATCTGTAGTATTAGTGACCAGTCCTTTGCTTCTGTTATTTGCAGCATTTACCATGGATAGAAGGAGTTGGCCATGGAAGAAAAAGTCATCAGAAAAAACGGTTGTTGTTACCACAGGGCCAGATTCTTCTGCCCCATTAGACTCAGCTGTATCTCAGGGGGATCAGGTTTGTCCATTGCAACTGCAAGACTTTTTTTCTTTCTTTGTTCACTTCTCCATTGGTTTCACCCATGTTTGAAAATTTTATAATTGTTGTTCCATATGTTGATGAATATTGTGCCTTGCACGGTTTTGTTATTACGTTGAACAATGCCCTTTCTTCATTGAAGTTGGTTACGATCGCCTGAGTGCATGATTTTCTGCCAACCATTCTGCTTCATGTTTAATGTTTGAGTGCGATTTGTATGATGATAGATGTATTTATTTCTTGTCACCCCTTTTGTTCTTGTCTGGTCCCTGCTAGAATTATACTTCATCAAAATAAAGTTTCGAGTTGACCATGCATCCTAGGAAACTGATTGCTTTGTAAGATTATCTGAAGCTGCTTAAACAAGTCGCATCCTTGTTTCTTATTTTTCTCTCCTTCAGTTTCATGAGGGTTTTCATGATCAATAACAAAACTTCTTATCTCCAAACATATTTTAATTTAGAGGCACTAAAATAACTATTCATTTGTGTATAGGTATTTAGTCTTTTTTCTTATGTTTCCAGGGAAAGAAGGATGATCATAAGAAGCCAAAATATGTGCAAATCTCTGTGGAGAGTTATTCGCACCTGACTGGTTTGGAGGATCAAGTAAAGTCCTATGAAGAACAAGTGAAGTCATATGAGGAACAAGTAAACACATATGAAGAAGATATAAAGGAACTAAATGAACAGTTATCTGAAGCCACTACAGAAATGACCAACAAGGAAAACTTGGTGAAGCAACATGCAAAAGTGGCTGAAGAAGCTGTCTCAGGTTTGTCAACCATCATGTTCTTGCACATTCATCTAGAGGCTTAGCATAGATTTCAATATTCTGTACATTTTCAGTTTAGTTAGGATAGATACCTGAAATTGAATATCTTGGACAGGTTGGGAAAAAGCTGAAGCAGAAGCTGCAGCACTGAAAAGCCATCTAGAGTCTGTCACCCTGTTGAAGCTAACTGCTGAAGATCGGGCAGCTCACCTGGATGGTGCTCTTAAGGAATGCATGAGGCAGATACGAAATCTCAAAGAAGAACATGAACAGAATCTTCATGACGTTATTCTTAGCAAAACTAAACAATTTGACAAGGTAAGGCTTGAGCTAGAAGCACGGATATCGAGCTTGGATCAAGAATTGCTTAGATCGGCAGCTGAAAATGCTGCGCTTTCAAGATCTTTGCAAGATCGGTCTAACATGCTGATCAAGTTGAATGAAGAGAAATCACAAGCTGAAGCAGAGATTGAGCTTTTAAAGAGAAACATAGAATCTTGTCAAAAGGAAATAAATTCACTAAAGTATGAAGTCCATATAGTTACAAAGGAGTTAGAAATCCGGAATGAGGAAAAGAATATGAGTGCAAGATCAGCAGAAGTGGCAAACAAGCAACATTTAGAAGGAGTTAAAAAAATTGCTAAGCTTGAAGCAGAGTGCCAAAGGCTGCGTGGTCTTGTTAGAAAGAAGTTACCAGGGCCTGCTGCTCTTGCACAGATGAAGCTAGAGGTTGAAAGCTTGGGTCGCGACCATGGAGAATCTCGATTGAGAAGATCTCCAGTGAAGCCTCCTGTTATGCATTTGTCTGCTTTGCCTGAATTTTCGACTGACAGTTCACAGAAGTATTATAAAGAGAACCAGATGCTTACAGAAAGGTTACTGGCCATGGAGGAAGAAACAAAGATGTTGAAGGAAGCATTGGCAAAACGTAACAGTGAGCTGCAAGCATCTAGGAGTGCATGTGCGAAGACTGCCAGCAAACTTCAAAGTCTGGAGGCTCAACTGCTGGCGAACGGGGTCGAAACAAGTCCTCCAAAATCTAGCATTCAGATCCCTATTGAAGGTTCATTCAGTCAAAATGCAAGCAATCCACCGAGCTTGACGTCCATGTCTGAAGATGGTAATGAAGATACTGCAAGCTGTGCAGGATCTTGGGCTACTGGTTTGCTGTCTGAGATATCTCATTTAAAGAAAGAAAAGACCACTGATAGTCCTCGCAAGTCTGAAAGTTCGAATCACTTGGAGCTGATGGATGACTTTCTGGAAATGGAGAGGTTAGCATATTTATCAAATGATTCAAATGGTGAAGTGTCTGGCACTGATCTCTCTAACAATATCAGATCCCCGGCTGTCAATCACAATTCTGGCATTGAAGGCACATCCCCATCCGCCGCTCGCTACGAGTCTGATTTATTGGAACAGCCATCAGCATCCAAAGTTGATACATCTGAAAAGATTCCTGAGGTTGATGTGGATCCTCTTGTAAAACTCCAATCAAGACTTTCTGCAATACTTGAGTCGCTAAAAAAAGAAACTGACATTCAGAAAGTCTTGGAGGATCTTAAACAGGTGGTGGAGCAGACAAGTAACAGTATACATCCCCGATCAGAAACTGTGGTCACTGAGTCCATGCCTGCCCTCGATTCTTCACCCAACGGTGAAACTGGTACTGAAATGACATCTGAAGACGTATCTATTTCTGAAGAATTTGCAGCTTCTATATCTAAAATTCATGACTTCATTGCAATGTTGGGCAAAGAGGCAAAGACTGTGCAAGGGATATCTATGGACAGTGAGGGATTGGGCCAAATGCTGGATGACTTTCATGCCACATATAATGAGATTATGGTCAAGAAAGCTGACCCTGTTCAATTCATTTCTAACCTTTCTCATGTGCTAAGCAGAGTGAGTGAGCTCCAAATCAAAGTCTTAGGCTACAAAATATCTGAGTCCGAAACTAACAACTCTGACTGCATCGATAAGGTTGCATTGCCAGAGAATAAAGGTTTCCAGGACATGTCTGATAGATATTCAACTAACTGCGCCCCGTTTTCTGATTCTGGCTCTGATGCTGATATTCCCCATGGAGGGAGTCTTGTTCCAACCTCTGAATTAACTCCGACATCCTGTAAATTTTCACTGGAGGAGTATGAACAGCTGAAGTTAGAGAAAAATAACTTGGTAGCTGATCTAGCGGGATGTACTGAAAGCCTAGAAATTGCGAAGACCAAGTTGCAAGAAACTGAACAACAGTTGGCAGAAGTCAAGTCACAGTTAACATCTGCACAGAAGACAAACAGCTTGGCTGAGACTCAGCTCAAGTGTATGGCAGAGTCATATAAATCTCTCGAAACACGAGCAGAAGAGCTACAGAATGAAGTGAATACTCTCAGGGAAACAATACACAATCTGGATAATGAGCTTCAAGAGGAGAGAAGAAGTAATCAGGATGCTGTGTCCAAATGCAAGGATCTTGAGGAGGAATTACAAAGGTAAATATTATTTTGTTAATTGTGATAGTAGCGTGAAATTTCCATTCTCAGATTATTGCATAGAGGGTTTCTGGGCAGGTTTCACAGTCATCATCTCTTTTTAGTGGAAGGTAGTTTTCCTTTGTACATTTATTCTCTTAATAAAACATAGGACTTGCTGATGACATTTGTTCTGACAGTTGCAAGTGGATTTGGTCTAATAATTTGATAGGATAATGACGACAATATGCTAATATCATGCATAGGTAGTCTTGTTTATGTTGAGTAAATCCAAATGCTTATACATTACGCATGACCTCTGTCCTCTCACCAAAACATTCTATCACCATTACAATTAGCTTTGCATATGGCAATGCGCCATTTGCTAGACGCCACCTGCTGTGGGTACTCATGTATCGAGTTCGGTTCTCATTGGGTTTCTTTGTTTGCAGGATCAAAAGTTCCGCTCCTGCTGAAGTTGATGCCCCGAATAACCAGGTGAGATGAGTAACTTCTCAAAATTATCTTAAACTCATTTTTGCTACACTTGTGTTCTTCCTTTGTATAGTTTTTAGATTAGATTGTGAGCAATGGTTTTTTAGTTTTGTGTCTGTTTTTCTTGCTATCTTTGATAGTTATTATTATTGTATGATTCCAGGAGAGAGAATTAGCAGCTGCTGCAGAGAAATTGGCGGAGTGTCAGGAAACAATATATCTCCTCGGTAAACAGTTGAAGTCCCTGCGTCCGCCACCAGAGGCAAATGGGTCCCCCTCCTTCGACAGGGGCCACAAGGAAGATGCATTCGGCGAGGAAGCCAGTATCAGTGGAATGAATTTGCAAGACGTCGATCCATCTGAATCAGACACAACGAAGTCCACGAGCTTGCATCGTGCAGGCAGTGAATCCCCAATCGACAGCTACCCCACCCCATTTAGTCCTGATTCTGAAGTAAACAACCTTTTGAGGTCGCCTACTGCTTCAAAAACTTCAAAGCATCGACCGACTAAGTCGGGATCATCATCTACTTCCTCCACGCCAACTCCAGAAAAGCATGCTCGTGGATTAAGCAGATTCTTCTCCTCGAAGGCAAAAGTCAGCAACTAGCACTTGCATTTCCTTGCTTTCCTATCTCGGTCAAGGCTCGAATAAAATTCAGAGGATGCGATTATCAGCTCATAAAGTTCTGTAGATATTGGTTCGGCATATTTTTCTGAATACACTGATAAGTTAAACATGAAGTTCGAGGTCGTAATACTCTCCAGCATTTGTCTGAGCCTTTCGCCACAGATCACTGGGTGTCCAGAACACAATGTAATGATGATAGTGTTTTGTGTGATTGGTGTATATGATCTTTATAACTTCAGTTCCTTTTTACCTTTTCTTCTGGAATGGGGGTGGTTTGTTTTTATGAATGATAAGGTTTTTGTTAGTATCGTTGTCATGAAATTCAAAGCAATAGAAGATGCCATGTTGAATGAAAGTTAAACAGATGTTCTAACCTTGGAAATATCCATATGCTTTTCGATGTAACAAGTCTTCGCATACATCTCCGATGTCAACTGTCTAGTATCTTCGTCCATTTACTTTGTTCATAATTCGGAACTGAACTCACTATTTAGCTTCATTTCATTCCATATGGCAAGACAGCTTTCATCCTGATGCTTCATCTGATCTATTCACATGCTTGTCAAACATACATAGCATCTGCATGTTTCGCGGGCGTTACACACTTGGTATGAACACACACGCACACACAAAAAAATTGCATCAATACAGGTAAAAAGATTCTAACAAGCATAAATATACCTTTTTATGTTGATATTTAACAAGCATATTGGCGAGACTCTTAACCGTCATGCAATTCTCGAAGGATCCAAACTTCTTCCAGATAACTCGAGGAATGACCATCCACGTAGTAAATAGTTTAAAGCGAATACGGTTTGAATCCGAACATGTTCCAATGAGAAGCTCAGACGCTCATTCCCAGCCCTCAATGTTTTCTTCTTCTCCATCAATTTGTGTGTGAATTCAGCAAAATATATTACTTCTTGTGTCGGTATGTTCTAAAATTATTTTGTAAAGTGAAAATCTAAACTGGATCATCATTTCGAGATAAAGAGAGTATTACACAACAACAAAAACAGAAACAATATTTCAAAAAATAAAATCAATGGAAAAGGGGAAAATGGCACATGAGAAATGTTTGATGGGCTGAAGAGCCCACGTGAAAATGGGCCCATCTGCACTAAATCTAGTAGGCCATTCTGCAGCATTTGGCCAGGTAAAGCAAAATGATCACGTGACCACTAATCCACCGTTTAAAAATTTGTAGAGAAGGAAGAAACAAATAAAGGCGTGGGTCCATTCGCATATGTTCTTCCACGCCACCTACGTGGATCCCATATATTCATCATTAGTGTATCTCTATGTACGGCTGCCCGTAAAAATAGGGATTATTGGGCTTCCTTGGAGCTGTATTGTAATATAAAGATTTTCTATATAAAGACCTCATTTTTGTCGTTGGTGCCGGCCTTAATTATAGAGAGCTCTGGATGTGGACTTCAACGTACCTAAATGGATCCAATCTATTGGGCCCTGTTTGGTTTAACTCAGTTATTTGATTCTGTTACAACTTACAAGTAGGGAAAAAAAATCATACATGTAACAACGATATTCATCTTTGATTTGGCAAGTGTACTAATTTTAGACATTTACAGGGAAAGCGATTTTTGTAGCAGATTGTTTGGTGACGTGGATATTACATTCTGGATGGATTATAGATTGTTGAAGCCTCTCTTGAAACGGTTTGATTTAGACTTTATTAGGGTTGCACACACCAGAAATGTTTGATTTGTTTAAACTTTGGTTTCCTTTTAGTATGAAAAAAATGTGGTCACGAAAAAGTTATGATATCTAATCAAATCCACAATAACTTTATAATTACAATCATTACTGCATCAAAGTCTGATTTGATCAGTGAATGCCATATAAGAAAAGTATAAAGAAGTTTTGAGTTTGTAGAGGTTCATCCAACCATTATAAACCGCCACGGCCTTGTGATGCCAAAGTTAACAAGTAATTGATCACAAAATTCGTCTTCCGAAACACATGATTAACTTCCACAATCCAATCCCGACTCATCAATTCGCGAACTCCATTAACCAGCCCTGTATTCATTCCTAATATTTCTTTCCCATCCTTGTGCCATAGAGATAATAGTCATATTGTCTATTTCCACGATCACCCTCCAACAACCTATCTCCCAAGCCAAAATTAAAGCTTGTAAGAGGTCCCATAACTCAGCCCCGTAATTGAGCAAAATCCAATATAAGTATTACTATTACCCACTTTGTTCGTAATAGTCTTTAGCAACAAAGGATGCTTTGAGGAAAAGCTGAAGTGCATGCTCATGAGTCATGACTTACAACTATTACTATTACCCACTTTGTTCATAATTAATTATTCTTGTTGTTTTTTTGGTTCTTAGTAATCGAGATTTAAGCTATATGGAAATCCTTTAAATTTATTTGCTGTAAATACAATGTGCCTCTCAACTCAAATCGAACTAGGAATTTAGAAGATTCAAACGTGAAAATTTATATTTAAAAATCTTTTTTCTTTCACATTTAGTTAACAATTGTTTTCTCTTGGGGGTAGTGGACTGTATTCGGTGGATGCATACCCCGATTTTATTAGTTATAATAACTGTATATGCATTATGTGATGCAATGTTCCCATAGTTTTCTTACAGTACTAGGTTAGAAAAGATCCAAAAAAAATAATAAATAAATAAATAAATAACAGTAACAGTTAATAAAAAGAAGAAGAGAAAAGCCAATTAACATATACCAACATGTCTACCCCAATGACTATTCTACCTTCCGACATATGTATTTCACTCTTGGTATATATCACTATCTCTTAATTCCATAACATATTTTCCGCATAAAAGGAATCGTAAAAAGCCAACCAAGCCAGCAATCAATAACTTCCATCTGCAAACTACACCAAAAAAAAAATTGTAAATATCAATATAAAGATGTTCATGATTTCTTACACATTTGGCATATTTGCAGAATATTACAGATATCTGATGCGAAAGACTTTGCCTTCTCCACAAATTTTTTTCATTGAACGATTTTGGATAATGACATTGTCTACCATATCTAGGTCCACATGAGGTATCAAATATCTTTGGTTTTTTTCTTTTTTTTTTAACTCAGATATTTTTGGAACTCGATCGATTAATTACAAAATTGTGTGGATTTTAGTTGTGGTACAGGCTATCACCCAACAAAAAGGGAAAAAAGAAAACAAACAGTCTCATGATTCTAGTAGATATTGGTCACTTTTCTGGAATTGCAATAATTCTATACTTTTATTTATAAATACGTATTCGAAGTGGTTCCAGTTTCACATATTAAATGCTCTTATAATGAATGAAAGGAGAAAAAGAGGGATAACAAAATGAATGGTTGAATGACTACACATAAAAATGGGAAAAACAAAGAAGACTCATGATACTTTTCGTCCCAAGATATCAGTTCTGTTATTTTAATATAACAGATAGTATAATGATTTTGGAAATCAGCGAGTATTAATGAAAAGCAAGGGATGACGGATTACGTACGCCCGGCCCTAATGTCAAACTGGCATGGACGGGGGGATTCGATTTCCAGACGAGAGATAGGATGCAGTAGAGCAGAGATGCTAGAAACCAGCAATGTCATGTGTGTTCATCACTGAAGTGTCGTTTTAGAATTTGATCAAAATTAAATGTAGGTCATTTCGAGATGATAAGATATGGTATGGATGGTTTTTGGGGGAATTTTCATCATCACCATTGCACCAAACGTCTTCAAGATTCCATGAGAATTCAAAAGTCAACACCGTGATGAATCTGAAGCTATCGAACTGTTAGGTCGTTGTTTTTTGAATGGATTGTTATTTATACTCTTTTCGTCCTAAAATTATTGTCCAGTTTAAATTTTTATTTGTAGATAAATTGAACTAAAAGGTAAAAATCCAAAGTAGACAATAATTTTGGAACAGAAATAGTATGAATTCTACGTTATTATTGTTCAAAGTGTAAACATTGTCTCGCATTTTATTTAATATCGTTTCTACAGTATCTATGAAACTTGTAAGTCAATTTAGATGCATTTGTAGAAAGTTCTTACCCAATAAGGGGATCAGAATGGCAAATAAAACTAATGAGAAAAAGTCAAAAGACATTTATATGCAAGAGTACATAACAAATTTTGTCCTCCAAAAGTAAGTATAGGTACATACCGATCGATCCAGTAGAAGTAATTCTAGTCTTGTCTCTTGTAATAAATTTCCCTATCTTTAACTATTTTCCATGTGAAGTCCTTCAGTCCTTTTCTCTTTGAATTTTTGGTTGGTTGATTAACTCGATGATAAAATATATTGATGTTGATTTTTGCTCTGTTGCTTGTGTCTCTTTTGTACTTTTTCTTGCAACGCATTTTCTAACATTTTCAATTGAAAAAAAAAACCTCAAACCAATACACCGTCCAATACTCATAAAATATTGGCAAATTGAGAATTATATAATTACGTGTGTAATCGTGTTCCTTGATTCCTGATGCCCTTTTAGATTGATTGTAAATTCCTACCCTTCCCAAATGAAATTCAATCAGGCTCCGTTTGATTAGATTGAATTGAAATTGGATTAGGATTACAATTATATTGAATTGAAAATGTAATATTGAAACTGTAACTCAATCTTAATTTCTTTGTTTGGGAGATCTTAAGAATTACTAAGAATTATTGTTTTAATACCAATTCTTGTGTTTGGATGCGTTGAAATTTATATTTACTAGAATTAGAATTAGTTTGTTATTCCCTCTGTCCTAAAATTATTGTCCAGTTTGAGATTTTACTTTTAGTATAATTTGAACTAAAAATAAAAATTCAAACTGGACCATAATTATGGGACGGAGTTAGTATAATCTAATTATTATATATAATTTATACTTCAATTCGAAAAAAATAAAAAAAAAAACATTACTTAATTTCTTATACCAAACTAATTTATCACATACATATATTAAATAAAATAAAAATTATCATGTGCTTATATATTGGAATGACTTTTACTTATGTGTTATCTAATTCATACAACTTTTACTTATTTTTCTTAAGAAAATACAGTTTTTTATTTAATGTATTATATTAAAATTTTAATTTATTGTGTATAAACAGGTATGGAAAAGAATAATTATGTAACAATTATTAATATAAAAACAAGTAAAAAGTAGTAATCCATTATTTTCCTCTTTTATTTTTTTAAAATTTTTTAATATTCTTTTTTTTGAATTTTTGGTATTTTGCATTAGGAAATATTGTATTCAATACAAAGTCAGTTTATGTTATTGTATTCATTGATATATGGATTGAAATTAATTTAAATATGCATAAAATTATATATATTATAGTATATAATTATAGATGAAAATATATAGCTAAAATTAATGAAAACTTACATAACTTGTAGTTAAAAAAAAAAAGAATTCATGTATAGTTCAAAATTTATACAAATATAACATACTTGCACTTGTGGAATGATTTCTTTAAACAAATTTCATGAAAATTTTACATATTTATAGTGCCATCACATAATTAATTAAAAGAACAACAATGATAGGATAACGAGAATTTATAGTTAAATGAGATAGTGACTTATAAAAAAAAGATACAAACCCCTCAATAAACATTTGTACTTATTAATTAAGGATAAAAATATAATTTTACATACCATTAGTCACTTTTTCATTATACATATCATTTTTCTAAAAACAATTAATGCAAACTAATACAATCACCTATTAATTTTGTTCAATAAAGTCTAGGTCTAGTTTTATATTTTGATAGATAGATAGCCTCTTAATAACTATCAAATTGATAGATACTATATTTATCAAATAAAAAACAAACCAGGAATGCGATGAAGAAGGAAAAGAAAAAAATCGTTGGGCTTAACTTAGGAGAAAATAAAAAAAACCAAAATTTGTGCTCGGCTGGGCCCTTAAGGAAGGGAAAAAAATAAAATAAAAATAAATATAAAAAAAAACACACATACACACATCAAAAGGGAAGGAGCAACCCGTTTTCTTATAACCCGAAAATGACCCGTCGTTGACCCGCGAAGTTTTTTTTTTGAAAAGAAGTTTATGAGATTCAAATTGCAATTATTTGCTCTCCTAAAAGAATTGAGCCCCTTCTTGAATTATAATTTCAATTCTTCCACTTTTATTTTTATGTGCCAAACACAAGAATTGGAATTGAACCTAATTCCAATTCTAGGGTTCAATTCAATCCAACCAAACAGAACCTCTGTAGATTTAACTTAGAACTTAACTAGAATGCTCCTCATCACACGAAGCTTGGATCCATCATCCATTTGTAGCTTGAGCTTAAAGAAAGGCATGCATGATTTCAAAGACTAAAAATTAAAAACTAGCTCGTGTTGTGTTTGTTATCAAACATACTACGACAAATTACGAATGATGCATGCATGTTAAAAAAAAAACCCTAAGTTGAACAAATAATTATCTGAAAATAAACATATCCACCATGCAGCGTTACCTTACCATTCCAATATTATATTAGGTTTTTTTTTTTTTTCATTTTCCATTGGAAACAAACTGATCTTAATTAATTAGTTTCGACATTATCATCCTACACGTTTGGGTATGTTCCCAGAAACGTTTGGGATTTCCTTGACGATATTTCTTCGACAAACGTAGGTTTATGGCTTGGTCGGGCGTATTATTAATTTTTCTCCAGTTGCTTAAATATTGAGACCAAATATATATTGTCGTTTTAATTTACTAATTATTCAAATATAAAACCATTTTAATTATTATAGGGGATATTATACATTAGTACATTACATATACCACCGATAATAATTGGATATATGTGAAGGTGGAGGGGTCTTTATGCTCCAAAACAATTGACTCAGTATTATCACAAACCCAACAATAACATCATCATCATCAATTCTAAACATCGCCTACGACTTTCTGTCTCTTCATCTTCGAATCAAAGCACAACAAATTCTGAAGCCGACCTATTATGTATTATAAATTAAATAAATTTATTATATATAATTCATTAATTACTAAGAAATGCAATAAAAATATGTGTGAACCACATGAATTAAGAGTCCTTTTCTAGTTGGCCTGGGCAGCTAGCTAGGCTGCTATTATTTCTATTTGTCTGGATGATCATAGTCAGATGCACATTGATCACCTTTGGCTTCTTCCACATTCAACATTGTCATGATTCTAACTGACTTATTAGAAACTCTCTCGCAATGGAATATATGCGGGAAAAAATTACTTTTCTTGAGCATTTCGTTTGGTAATTTCGAAAAAAAAATGATAATTTCACCGTCGATGATGCAATTTGTCATAGCATTCAGATCATTCACTGAACTATTCAATAACGGGACTATATCGATTTTATTTTTTTTCCCCGTTTCCTTTCTTTCATAATTTAATGCAATTTCTATTTGTAATAATGAAGGATGGGAGATGGGATGGTGTCAACAAGGGAGGACTGGTGAGTACGTTAATACGTACTGTACGTTTGGACTTCGGGATCCAAATTAAAAGAAAATAGTTTTTGAAGATAACATAAAATAATCGGAACTCCAATTACCAACGTTGTACGTATAGCTAGCCTCTGCAGATAATGTTAAAATTCCTTCCAATAATAATATTTAAGGCATTATTATTTCCATCAAGTTAAACTCAAGGTGACCCAATTAGTTGATTAATTAATATTAATTTTTCTTCAGATAAAACCCTATTATGGCTGCATATGTAAAAATGGTTACATGGCTAAAAACAATTATGTCTGCCGTATTCAAAACGTACCACTGCTGCTTGTGACTGAATGTCCGGTGAGTACGGATATTTTTGGCCCACTGTTTTTTATTCTTCAATTCTTTTAAATTTTTTTTATCAAAAATAAAAGAAATTGAAATAAGTCATAACTCAAAATTCTGAGAATAGGATTAAGAGATTAAAGGGACCACGGACTGCAGTTGCCAGTATCTGGAGATTGAACAGGGATAAGGGGGGTTAAACCATGGATACTGTAATATCTTTAGCTTTGAGAGATACATATAAAATGGATAATTTATTTTCTATGGTTTTTTTAAAAAAAAACAAAATCACGGAATAAGATGGATGAAATTAATTATTTCACTGCAAAAATATTGAAGAAGCTAGCAGGTTGCGCTGGAAATGCAGTTTCACCATATTGCCTCGCATGTCACTTAACTTTGGTTCCATCTCAGATCCATAAGGCCATAATGTCGTCTTAAAATAAAATATTTTGGTTATTGTACCGTTTCAGTTTAACAAACAAGATTCTTTTGGGAGGGATTTTTTTTTTTTTTTGTCACTCTGTAATCTGTATAACACTAATAAACGATGATTTTTATCATCATATTACATTCTTGTGACACTAATTTTTAGTAACCATATAATATTTGTAATGATGATTTCCAACTAAATATTTTGGTACCAACTAGGTTTGAAGGAACGGATCATCATCGTGTTGAGTATTCCACATTAGTAGTGGGAGAGACTTGGTATTAATATATAAGTCTATAGGTTACTTTCTTCATTTTCAATTGGTTTTGAAGTGAAACCCATGGACTTCTATACATCGACCAACCAAATTAAAGACGTAGAACTGAGGATAACAAATTGCAGCGACGGAAATGGAAAGGGGCAGCCATAACAGAATTATGACTTCTCAAATATATGTATATATCCAAAATTAATTCCCAAGTATTTTGCATGTGATCCCGATTCATCCGGAAAGACACCATACTGTGTTTCCGTATGAAACAAGCAATTTTACACTAACCAACCATTTCTCCCTTTGAATATAATCAGTTCCTAATCTCATCTTAATTTCTTTAGAAAACGATCCCTACATTAAGAATTTAAGATTCACATATTTTGTCGGAATGACAGTTGCGGGAAATGAAAAATCATCAAATCACACTATTAATAAATATTAACCTAAAGAAAACAGTTTTTTCTTTTTTTTCGGGTTATACAACATCAGTCACTATAATATTTTACTGTATATTTTCACTAATTCTTCCATTTTTCTTCCTGGTGAGGATTCTCTACGAACTGCGAAGATCTTTCTTTCTACCTACATTTTGTTTTTACCTTTTTCTTCTTGTATATGTGTTTTTGTTCACATATTACAGCAGATCAAAAGAGTGAAGACAAATATATACCAAATATGAAGTGGATGGATGGAATTGATTGTGAAATCCGAAGAATTTCATTATAATCCAATACATTACAATCAATACTTATATTAGTGAATTTACTCTCTCACAGGGTACAAATTGAGTTACAAACCCAAAACACCGCCGTGAGGAAAATGATCATCTAACTTTTGAGATTTTTACACATCTAGCTATACAAAAACCCTCCATGATCATCATGAGATTTTCTGTTAGCCATAAACAAATCTCAAAAGCTAAAAAAAAAAAAAAAAGATGAAAAAATAGTCTAAGAAGGTTAAAAAAGAAGAGACAAAAATTTTTTTAGAAAACAATGTACTACTAAGCTAGCTAGCTGGCTGGCTGGCTTTCCTGATAAATCCTTCCACCAATTTTAATAGGCAAATTAATCTCTGTCTCTCTTTGGTAGTTATCTGAGCATTGATGTTAGAGATTCAAAGACTTCTTCATCACAAGGAAGGGTAAGCCCCATCTCATGATCAAACCCGAATTCTTCCTCAGCTCTTTGTAGAAGACTTAAGAACTCGGGTCGGTTCAAGAATGAAATCGGGACAATATATCTAGTCCGGTTCTCACCAACATACACTGCAAAATGGCCTTTTGGTACGTCCAAAGGAAGCCCTTCTTCATCGTACCCTTGCTTCTTTCCCAAGCTCGAACATCTCTTCATTATTTGCTTGATCATTGCCGCTTGTGAAAATTTGTTAGACTTTTTAATGGCCATTTTTTGTTCACAATATTTTTGTTTATTATAAAGGGAAAGAAGTGGAAGTAGAAGAAGAAGAAGTTTTGTTTGGAAGATTGCAAAAGATAGAAGAAGGGATGGATTGTTTGGCTTTTTGGAGTGTGTTGGTGGTGGAAATGAAATGGAAATTTGTAGGGGTATTTAAAGTGAGACTTTGAAGTTGGAAAATGATTTTTTTTTTTTTTTGGTTTAATATTTTTTCAATTAAAATAATATAAAACTAAAAATAAATAAACAAAGGCATGTGGGATTGTAGGGGCAAAGGAGAGCCCACGGGTGTTTTTGAAGAGTGTGAGTTTAGAAGGACATGTTGGGGGCCAAAAGCATCGTTCTTACGAACTCTTGTTGCCTTCGTTTGGGACAATTAGGACCCTTTTTTTTCCTCACTTCAAAAATTCATTTTTTTTTCTTGAATTTTCTTTTTTTTTTTTGCAATTTTTTGGAATGTTGTCTGATGTTTCTTCTTTATTCTTTAAACTTAGAGAACTTTCCTTGGTTTTTACAGCATGCCGTACATTATTTTTCATGGAATTTATCAGTTTCTGAACGTATCGGAATTATTATCTATTTTTAATCAATCATTCTTCACCCTTATAGCAAAGGGACAATGCATCATAATTAATATATAGTAAGCCTAGCATTAAGTCCAAGTAAATGTTTTTTCTTGTTCCCCATTTTGATTCGACCAAAGTACGTAGATTTTTAGCTGTTTCAACTTCCACCATCTAGTTTGATGATTCCATTACGATTCACCTCAGTTTCTGAGTAATTTTGTAACATATATATATACTACTACTACGTGCCCTCATTTTGTTCGTTCACCTTTTGTTGGTGACACAATTTATGATAAAATAAAGAAATTAAGTACATGTGAAAATGATGTACGGTAAACATTGTACTTAGTTGTAACTTCATTTGTATACAAGAGTAATAGTAATAATGATTAAATTATTAGTGGGCGGCCGACCGGAGAGAGAAAGCATATACACAAATCCAATGAGAAATTCTGACATAGTATTATTGAATAGAAGAAAAAAAAAAGAAATTAAAGATATTCCTTCCTCTAACTACATGAGAGTTTAATTGAGATGTAGGATAAGAATCTAATTAGGAGTTTCTTCTTTCCTTATTCCACACATGGTGGACGTGACAAAGGTTTTGAAGTCGAGAATTTATGAATGGTAACTTATACAACACTTCCTTCCGGTTGTATCACTAACTTAGAAATATTTTCAAAATACCTAAGTAAAAATAGGCCAAAATAAAGAAGAAGAGAAGAAGTCAAACTAGGTATGGAATTAATGATTAAATTTGTAAACTCTAATAGATCAATCCCTTTGTTTCTCACTTAGGATGGTCAAAAGCATAAGGTATTTGGATCGTGCGAAAAGAAGACAAGAAAAGAGGGCACAGAGTTTAGGACAATTGGGAATGGTTTTATGAGAGTTATAGCTAGACAATAGTAGACGAGTAGGTACTTCTACGTTTTCTTAGGGTTTTTTTTTCCCACCTTTTTTTTTTGCCTTAAAAAACCAAAGCCAACCAAAGCATTTAGCAAGTTAGTTATTTCAATGTCCAAATATTGCTTCAAGTTGGTTTTGTACAGTGTACCTAAAGACTAAAGAATTTTGATGAATTCGATCTCCATTTGCCTCATTTCATCATCATTTTCTAACGTACTGTGGAAAGTAACTACTACTTGTACATTTCTGTCCTCTACACACACTTATATCCGCCAGATAGGTTAGATGCGCCTCTTAAATGACTATCTCATTTTCCAGCTATTTCAGGTTTATGTAACATTTTGGTATCCGCCAACTTCTTTTCCATTCCCTTTTCTATTTTCATGACGATTTTTTTTATTTTTTTTTAATAATTATTGCATAAACATACTCCTTTTCGCGCAAGAAAAAGAAAGAAGTCACGTCTCCTCCTAAACTTACATTGTCTCCACATACCCAAAAAAAAAAGTGGTTTCAACAAGAAAAAAAAAAAAAGAAAATATCAATTTTAATTAGTTACTAGAGAATTGTAAGGTTCATACTTATTAGTCCTTTACAAACTATGTCATCGAAACCCTTTATTAGATGGTGCCAAATTTTGACTATGGTGTGAACTATGCCATAACTGTTGAGACCCGTAATCAGATGAAGGGAAAGGATGCTGGAACCATGCAGATTAGGGTTTTAGGATATATAAATTCATCATTATATATACATGTCCAATGATGACAAAAGTTAGAAAGCTTTTTTAATCAAATCTAGCGTCTGCTTTTCATGCAGTTAACATTGCCACAAGGGAAATGAAATGATCATAAAGTGACAAAAGAAGAAACTCGACAGACTAAAATTTCTTTTTCTCTGTTTCTTCCTTTTCTTAAATTTGGATTGAAAATTTGGAAATGAGTACTACTGCGTCAAGGGGTTGTTTAAATGGCTATAAAAACAAAGACTTAGGAGGTTAGGATTTAACAAGGAGTGGCCCATTTGGATGACCTCTTTGAAGGCCATCCCATGTTCTGTGATCCAGATTGATTAGTGAAGAGGACATACAAACAGAAACAATAGAGAAGAGCGGGTTGCCCAACTTGGCCCCATGAAGTTGTCACCGAGAGCCTAAAACCAACAATAATCTTTTTATACATAAAGTAAATAAAAGATATGGCGAATTCATTATGTGAAATGATATCTCGGGTGATATATACATTCAAAGACATGACGATCCATGTTTTATACACCGCAATGATTTTGATGAATATCTAGAATTTATTATTCTGTATATGGTGCGTGCAATGTGTGTCACGTTAGTTTTTACATCATTTTACTAGATTATAAATACATTGTTTCTATTATTACTCTCTATCGGTGCTATACATGCAAGCTGCTAAGATATCTCGAATTGGAGAAAGAGGAACCGCAGGAACTACAACTTTAGAGAAGTAGAGAAAGTGACCTATTTTACCATAACCAAGTTGAGCACATGATGGCCATGTTACTTTTGCTTCCCATTTCTCATTGTAAAGACAACATTGTAAGGACCTGACTGATATGTATATGTCAACACCTAGCTACTCGTCGTCTCATCACCCTCTTCTTATTCATTCACTTTTTCCATCCACATTATTCCCCTAATATTAGTTAATGATTTATTGCTAAATATATACATATATTTGCAACAATTCCATTCCACACATGATTAAATTAACGATCGATTACGACTATCAAACTATACATCTAAGAAGAGTAATTTGGTTGTTGCCCTAAAAAGTTGATTTCACAAGTTTTATTGTAATTCAGACAATAATAATATGAGATTTAAGATACTCCCTCCGGTCCTTATTATAAGACATTTTGACTTCGTCATAAGTTTAACCTAGAATGTCTTTTTAATTGGAAAAAAAACCTTAAAAATATATTTACACATTTGTATTCTCCTAATTATTATAAAATATTTTTAAGGTTTTTATTCCAATTAAAAAGACATCCTAGATGAAATTTGGAACGAAATCAAAATACCTTATAATAAGGACCGGAGGGAGTAGAAGATTTAATTCTTCTAAATGGACGTTGCATGAAAAAAAAAATGGGTTTGAGAAGTCACCAGCCAAACACGTCATAATCGATTGAGAGTACACATATACGTTACGGGATTGATGGAATGAGCGAACGAGACCAGAGAAAAACAATGAAAATGAGCATAATTTGCTTGATCATCAAAATGATACATCACAATTATGTTATCGTGACCTCTTCATCCTTGGTATTGAATCCAAAATAAGAAAATGATGCAACATATGTTCATACCAACAACTATAATTAAAAACACAAGAAAAAAAGACCTCTCAGGAAAACTTAGGTTATTTATTCGGATCTCCTTCAAAGTTTGGGGAAGCTACTGATCAATCCCATCAATATTGGAAGAAATTTCCAATCATCCTTCTTGACCATTCAGACGACGAGACCAACCATCGTGTGTTCGTCATAGAGTTTGTAAAAGTCGAATAATACCATTATGTGGATCTGTATTTTCGTCCAACAATCTGGAATCTGGATCACCATTATTCGTTACAAATATTAAAAAATGACTGTTTTATTTTATTTGTTATATTATTTTAGATCGACAAATAAAATGAATTATCAATTTCTCACTTAGTAGTAGCTAGCTAGGTAACACAATATGTATATCTTTGGCTAAATAATCAATGTTAATGACAGTAATAGTGTGGTACAAATTTTGAGAGCAATTTTATAGTATCTCCAAAATCTTGGGGTACGTACGTAGCTAGGTCGCTATAATTAAACCCAAAAAAAAAAAAAAAAGGATATAGAGAGTAGCGATAGCCAATTAGGCAATGGCCCCAACATACAGCTCAGTGGTGCTACTCTTTGGATTCATAAGAAACAAAGAGGACTGATTTCAATTTTTTAAAGGACTTTCCGGACGTACCTGAGCCATATGCTTTACAAAACAGTCGCACTCAATTTTTTTCCTTGAAAAATTAATGGTATAAAAATGTAGCTCTCACACCCCATAAAGTCTGCATCATCAAAACATTGATATGAAGTGATGATCTCTTGAAGACAACTTGGTTGGGCTACCTCAGTGGTATGAAGTCTGATCTTAAATATGCAAACCTAAACACCCCAAAAAAAAATAATAAAAAAAAAAAAATTCATTAGCTTTCAGAGAGGGGTCCAAAGCCAGGGTGGCTGATTAGCTTCTTTTGCATGGCTCATTAAAGAGCAAACAATTTTTACGTGTCAACTCATACATTTTAATGTTTACTTGATTAAAAACAATTAATAGTAGTTATATAATTAACATGTAGATCTTCCATGCATGTTCGTAAAACCTAAATATTTTGAAGACAATTTAAAATATGTTTTCTTGCACTAGTTCTCAAATTAACATCGATTTGTGTACATATCCATTTCATATTAATAGTCGTATATTGTTTTTAATTTTGAGTATGTGTGTGTGTGTGTGTGTGTGTGTTTTCCACAAAAGTTCCATGAGATATAGAGTCCCTCAAGTTAACCAGCTGGGACGTTTTCGTGGAAGTTTCAGATGAAACAATATCAAAAACGGAATAAGACAGTTATATATATTAGACGAAATTGTGAGACAAAACATCTTATATCACTGTCCAAGGGAAAAGTCACCATCTACATCATGCATATAGAGAGGTTATAACGCTCAAGGAGGATCATCTTACATATATGTCACTGGAAATTTTGGAAGTAAAAAGAGCCCACTAGTAAGGATGAAGATGTTCAACTATCAAGTGCATCACGAGTTTCGTTCTTATGTGTTATTGTCCAGATAGTTAGGCTTTTATAAAAACGATTGTTTCCGCTCGAAACTAATTGGCAACTAAGTGTAAGATAGTTTGTATTGTTAATTAAGGTCTGTGGACCAGTATCAGTAAGTAAAATCAATTAGAGATGGTCTGATTAGACCCGATTTAAGGGATTTTTTTATCCCCATAAAAGAAGAGACTGGTTCTACCTCCACTAATCATGTCTCATCAGAATTATGGAAGTTGTACTTCAAAATTTCAATTAGCCTTCCTTGCCAGTCTACCTCGTGCATCCCTGCTGGCTCAACAATTTCAATGGCCCGGAACTATATTATATACAGTCATAATTAAGTTAGTTTTAATTTCTTCTGATGGGCAATCTCTGACTGTGTCCATACGGAATTTGGTCCTTTGTTCAGTACTTTTGTTTATGCATCACAGCCACTCATATTATCAGTTAAACCAATTTTCTGTTATGGATTCAAATCCATATACACATGATATAAACTGGTATGACTACAAAGTACGAACAGACTGTGTATCAAGCGTTTCAGTGGGCTAACCCATAATAGATAGGGTCCAATTATACCCCACCAAACTAGTAATCTCTACGTAACAATAATTTCGAAACGTATGAGGATTTAGTTTACTTAATTAGGGAAGAAGCAGGGTAAATGAAAACTATTTAGTTTTAGTCCACAGTTACCAAATTTTGCCATAAATAAACCAATGATTAAGACCATTGATTAAACAGACTGCTCAACTCTTTCCATGTGCCCAATCAAATCAGGTCAAGTTATGTTCTGCGTTTAGCCAACTCCTTCATCTGCATGGTTTCATATGCATCAATCTTAGTCAGTTAAAGTCTTATCTTTTCAGCTGTTGGTTTTTGCTTTTCGGTTTTTAGGGCCCCAATTTAACAGTCTTGTCCGTCAAATTCAGATAATACCATCAGATTATGACAACCAGCATGTGTTATAAGTGCGACCAATACAGTCATTTGATTTCACAAAAGATTCTGATTGAATCATAAACATTCCCGAAGCTGAGACAGCAACAAAAGATTCACTGATTGAGTAAAAAGGCTATGAAGAATTCAATACTTTAGTTGAACAATAATATTAGCCCAAATAGGCTGGTCCCATCCGCTGCTAATTTTCAAGGGAAAATGAAATACAGACGATATGTAATTAACAATCTCATGTTACCCAAAAAGCAGTGTAAGTATTTCAGACAAAAGTTATCGGATTTTTCATACAGATCAGTAACCAAAAAATCATAAAAAGAAAAATAATTGGAACCATGAAACAAGGTGATGAAAATCTCCAAGGAAAAGGAGCATGGGCTATGGCCTATTCAAGAATAAATTGCTCATTTCCATTTCAGTCTGCTATGGTGTGTCTCTACCTTTCAACCGACATCCATAACAATCTGCCGCGACAGATGAATCTTCCCTTGAAATCTAGTGCACATATATGTTCTAAGCCGACAGTACTGCTGGCTTTTCATTAGCCTCCTGGGCTTGCAAACTCTCATAGTACTTTACCAAAACTTGCCATCCCCCAGGGCACATGAATCCATCAGGAGGATTCTCCCCACTTCTTGCATAAGCCCTCATCTGCGAAATCATAGATGACAATGCGCTTTTAAAAATGAGTAATCTTTCCAGTACAATACAACACACATGACATAATGCTGAAGCTTTTTTCTTAAGATGCTTCTACTGGGAAGCAGTTGCAAAGTTGGTGCTCACCTTGGTTCCGGAGATAAAGAGAAAATTGCTGGCCCGTGATGGGTCAAAAAATGCCATTCGCTTTTCTATAGTATCATATGCAGCTACCTGAAAATCGAGTAAACAAGACTTTGAATGCTATCTTCTAACAACAGTCAATTGGCCAAACTACATTGAGAATGACACAAGGAAAAAACCAGAGCAAGATTTTACTAACATATAAAGTGGACAATTGGCTAAGCAACAGAATATGTAGCAGGGTCAAGATGAGGAACGATAATGCAACTGAAACAAATAGGACATCAACATGAGGGGTGAATGCATGTGCCACGTACCCTAAACGGCAGAATGTTCAATTTTTCAAGACCAGGGGCCATGCTAAGGACTTTCTTTCCATGATCTGGATCGTATAAGTCCCTCTTCTCTGTTGGATGTCCCATACCAGCTGGATCCCGTCCGACAATGTAAAAGTTGGCACCAGCATTAATCCGAGCCTTTGCATGCCACTGTACTTCAGTTGGTCCAGCATAATGCATTGGAGATGGGAATATGGAAACAATAGTTGTCTCAGGATCAAGAACACCGTCTTCAAGAACCTGCAGAAAAGGAAAACAATATATGTCTTAGCAAGACTGAAAGTTTAAAACCCCAACGCAGATTCAGAAAGGAAAATTGTGTCAAAATTCTTCAACAAACAAAACTCTCCCCCCATTCACCTTGCTATGCTGTTCCATTCGAACATCAAGAGGCACATCATCGGCCTTTGTGAAGCCTCCCAAAGGATGAAGCAAGAGAATTGGATTTTTAAAGCCCATCTCCAGAAGTCTCCTTCGTGTATCATTCATTAACAGAGCATGACCATTATGCACTGGATTCCTCAGCTGAAAAGCGAAAACTGCATCAGCCTGGCGGCGATCAAATTCTTTGCGCAGTTGTTGCGGGGATAGCCTGTAGTGATCAAGACCATCATTATATTTTATAGGCTCTAGGACTTCCAAATCTCCACCAATGAGCCAATTCCCTGCTGAACTAATTACCTCCTCAACATAAGGTAATCCAGGAGCTGTAGTTCCCCAGGTTCTGGCAATTCTTTCTTCTTTGTTATGTTTGTATATTTCAATGCTGCAGCATAAAAATACCTTAGAATATGCGATATAGAAAAATATATTGGAACACAAGACAACATAAGGGATGGACCTTTCTAAAAAATTATTAGCTATAGACGTGGAAACAAAGTTACAGAAAAAGATGTCGAAGCCTTCAAAAATTATTAGAAGATAGATTGGTAACCAGTGCAATTAAGCCAAACAATCTCTATAAACGCGCAGACGTTAAACATAAAAGATCATATGCATCTTTTTTGTTCTCTCATCAAACTGCTTCATTAAGGTTAAAATGAGAGAATCCCTCGGCACTAGATAATAACACCCTATTTTTGGAAAAGATCATTGACCTGCTTGTCCAAAAGTTGAAACCATAACAAAGTTTCTTTACTCAAGTGGCATAACAATGGAATGCCTAAATTAATTTGTGCCTGATGTAAGATTTTCGCTCCCAAAATTTACAAGCTCCTTCCAGGCCAACAAGCAGCAGCTGCAGATACAAAATTACATTTGGTTTTCCTTTCTAAAGCGGGTGTCTCTACAATGTCAAACTCCAAACCACAGGATTCAGTTCACAGTTGAATTCATGTCATACAGCCAGCTTATAATATTGTTAAAACACCAATCAAATTGTCCTTAGCTGCTATTGGAACCTTTGAAATTGTCAACATCACTATCAATGACCTAATTAAAAAATTAGGGACTATAAAACAAACTTTGGATGCTGAACCAATTAGATTGCATCTAATCTAGGTATAAACAATCAATCAGTCAAACTGAATTAATTGATTTGAGGAACCAAAAAAAGCATATGCTAACCTCCTCAGAATGCCAACCAAATCATCATTGGGCCCAACAAGTGCAACCTCACTGGATCCCCCAATATTTGCCTTAACCACATCGTCAATAGCCAGAACAATAGGGAGAGACATATTCACAACCGACCCATCTTTCATTCTCAAGGAATTAAAATGCAAGCTCTGCAAATACTCATCTTCTCTCATAAATCCCCTAAGAGGACTAGCCCAACCTTCACTAATCACATGAACCCATTCGAGATCAATTTTTGTCAGCTTCACTTTCGGTAAAGATTCCGCCTCTAAAACCTTGCCAGCCCTTTGGCTCTCGGGCACCACAAGATCCACCAATGTGCCCCCATCGGGTTCAATCAATGAACTCTTGATCATTGGCACAGACCCTTTTGGAGAAGAGTGTAAAGTTGCCATCTTTTTATGAAAAGACACAAATTGGATTAAAGGGTTGTTGTGGTAAATCGATTTGGAGTGAAGAAATTTGAACAGATGCGGAGCCCTTGTTTTTGTGTTTCCCTTCAACAACGTGTCATGATGGAAATGAGTGTAAGAAGAAGAGGAAGCGGTGTTGGTGATGTGGAGTAGCTTAATTGTGAGGGACATTTTGAGAAAGGGAAGGGAAATTTGGGTTTTTGGGGAAATGAAAAGGGTATTGGATCGAATGAAGTGATGATGGTGTTCTGTGTAATAATAAAGTGCAATAAAAGGGGAATCAAATTGTGGACTGATGATGATGATGATGAAGAAGAAGAATTGGTGGACATCTTTTTCTGGGGGGGTTAAAGGAGAAAGGAATTTTGTTTGGAAGGGGATTCTGGCTGGCTGCCAAAAGGGTCAAGTGTGTCAGACTGTAAAGATATCCACAAGTTTTTTCAATTGAAACGAATTGAATGCATGGATGGATGATGCAATTGAGAAAGAATTGATGGATGGAGGTTGGTTTTTCAGCCTTGTTCATTTTTCCATTTGTTTTTTCTTTATTTTTTTCCAATTTTGGCGGGCCGCTGACCATTCTTTTTGGGGAGGAAGAAGAATATTGTGGGCCTACTTGGAGAAAATGCAATTTTCAAAGCCCACTCTCAAAACACTTTTCAAAGCCCATTCTTTTGAGATTTTCAATTCTTTTTTTCCTTTTTTAAATTTTTTTTGGACGAAACAAAATGCTTGATTACAGAAAGAATTTCTTATGTAGAGTCTTCTCTGTCTTAATTTCCGGTTTCGATCGTGAGAAGGATTGGGTTAGTTACAGTCTAATCAAAAGAAAATAAAGTCGGTTCCTATTTGATTTTGGTTCTAATTTCGTTTCGGGTCAATAAATATATATTATACTCCCTCCATTTCAATTTGTAGGTCGTTTTAGGTTTGGAAAGATTTTTCAAAATGTAGGTCGTTTTACAAATTCTATGCAAATTAATGACTATTTTTCCAACTTTACCTTCAATAAATGATGTCAATATATTTTTATTTAATCTTGTTTATAGTTCCAATATAATTAATGAAGGGTAAAATTGATATTAAACACATAAATTATTTGTTGAATGATCTCTTTACTTCATGTTCAAAGTCTAAAGTGACTTACATTTTGAAATGGAGGGAGTAGTACCTCAGCTTTTCTTACAATTTAGTACTCCCGCCGTCTCACAAAAATAGTCCAATTTAATAAAAATTCTTGTCCCAAAAAAATAGTCCAGTTTCAAAAAAGTCAAAATCAAACCATGTAAAATGACTCCAACACCCTTCCTGATAAACAAAAACAATCATTCACTTACCGTTCAATTTGACGCAACGATGTCGGTCAGTAGACGAACTTTGGCTGTTATTTCGAAAATTTTACGGCGACGGTCTCGGTGGTCGAACTTTGGGGTGAAATCCTGATTGCAAAATTATTCGGCGATTACGGTGGAGGAGGAGCGAGCGACGGCAAGGGTTTCAAGGTTTAGAGATTGGGTATAATAATACGAAGAAGCAATAATTGGGGGGGAAAAAAGGTGAATGCTTTTCGAGATGACGCATATGGTTGTGGATTGGACAATTGGGAGATACGTGAAAATGATGGTGGTGATGAAGGACATAGTTGTCGTGGTGGTGGTGAAACTGGTGGAGCCGGCCATGGTTGGTCGGCGGTACGTACGGGAAGAAGTCTTTGCTCTGCTCAAGAATCCATTCAAGGGCTAAATGAATCGTAAAGTTCAAATCGCCTAATATGGCTAGAAGAGATTGATTCAAATCTAGGATTCCATCAGAATTGTGATTAATTGGTAGATTTGATCTCTCGCATAACAGAAGGAGAAGCCGGAGCCAACGACAACGCCGGCAAGTTCTTTGAGGGAATAAATGGGAATAAGATTTACTAAGGTAAATTTTAAATTGGGACAAAATTGGAAGTTCATGGAACAATAATGAGTTGTATCTTATTGGGTTGACTAAATTAAAAAAGTTATATATTTTAAAATTAGAATGGGTTATTTATTCTAAGTCTTGTTTCTAAGTTATATGAAACCATCCCAATATTTTTTTTAATTTATTATTCTAAGTCTTGTTTCTCTTCAATTGGATTAAATTAAACTGAGATTTAAAGACAACTGTGATGGGGAATTAAATGGCCGCAGTGGGGTAATTTTGGATATAAGGGGGTTGCTTAATAGAGAGTATACTTCAGAAGTGAAACGTGTGTCCGCAAAACAAACTCTTTAACAACAGTTGATTCATGAGAATATCAACGCTTTTATGTGCTTTTATTTTTTTATTGCCGCCAGGTTTATGTTTGTGATTGGACACAATTTGATTGGTGATTTCCATTTACGGAACTTGTGTAATTTTAATTCTTATGGTGTTGTTTCTTTTACTTTTAAAAAACAATCTATCCATAGTATATAGTGATATCTATAGTATATTATACTATGAAAGAAACCAGAGAGAAAACAAAAAAGAATTCTAAAGGTGGCACATAAGATAAATTTCTATGTATCATTTTTCTAATGGTCGAGTCAAAAAATATTTACAACAATTATACTAATAGTTCTTCAAATTTTATGTAAATAAAGTTTTATCAAATGGCATTTAAAATTATAGTTTAAAATAGGAAAATAAAAATTAATTAAATTTAATGGATGGGATTAATGAATATTAATGCACCAGAATTATTCCCTCCCCAAAAGAATCCCCAAAGTTACTACTGGACTCATTTAATTAATCTCTTTAAAAAAAAACTCCCTCCCAATCATGTAAATCAATAGACTACAATTCAAAAAAAAAAAAACCAATCATTCAACATTAATGTTATCTTTAAAATCTTCTTCCAAAAACATGACCCTGTATTTTTTGCCAATAAAAAGAAAAAAAAAAAGGTACAAAACTTGCCTTCAATTATTACTAAAAGGGTGGGATTTAACTATAATTAAATGTTATCTTTTGAATTTCAAATCTATGCATTTATTTGTGTAATATCATATTTACCCAAATAAATATAATCTTTCCTTAATAATATCTCAAAAATTGTTATAAACTTTATCTTTATCACTGCAATTTTGGATAATCAATTATCATCAATCCCAATTTATCTCTATTTATTTTCACTTTTGGATAGTAAAATTTTGGATAGTAAAATATACTCCAAAACACCTACATTACTGATGGATTATAAATAAAAATCGTAAAATTCATTTTACTCCAAATCCCGCGCATCGCGTGCGTTTAACATCTAGTATCTTACTATATTAGAAACAAAAACCACACTTAAGAGAAAACACCACCATTTGCCATGTGGCATTTCCACATCATATTTTTAAAATAAATTTTTATTTACACATCAATTTCCTAGACTTAGAAGGCAAATGCAGTCTAAATCCACCTCTACCTCCTATTTTTGCCAAAAAAAAAACTCACGGCTTCATAAAAAACCGAAATCCTCATTCCCATCTCCACGACAATCGACTCCCTAATCAATTCTTTCTCCACAATTAAAAAAAAATATGCAAAACAAATTCCGCATCAATCATCAATTGAGAATAAGTGGTGAAATATACTCCTTTCCTATTAGCATGTTCAATCTTTTCATTAGTGATGATCAACTATATCCTAATCGGATAAAATTTCGACTTCAAAAAATATTCTCTTTACCTCTCTATGTAAACACAAAGGAAAAAAAAATTTTCTCATTGATCTTGCTTCGGCCGTTGTGGTGGTGTCATTACAGATATTAAAATTTAAATGATTTTATATCCACAGATCATTTGTACGGCTTTTATTATTTTTTATTTTTCCCGTTCAAGAATAGTGTTATTACTATTATTTTTATGCGTCCACCCATTACAGCTACCGTAACCGTTGCCAGGTAATATATGATGTGATTTCTTATATGATTAGTTAGCCTAGAATTTTTGTATGATTTTAGTTCTGTTTGGATTAAAATGATCAATTGGATTTTTGTTACAAAGTGTGAAATTTTTAATTTCTTTTTTATATTTCATTCAATTAGAGTGGTTTTTTTTAATTACGGAGTCTTAGTTTTTATCGTATATGGTCAGTTATGAATTGTGTTTTTTCTTTGTTTAATTTTTTTTAATTTTGTTTCATACTCCCAGTTGACCAATTATTATTATTATTATTTTATTTTATTATTATTATTTTTTTTTTACAAATGAAGTGCTTTTTTTTGTTAGGGCTTTCAAGAATATACTTTTTTTGATTTGGTTTTTGGACTTTTTTGAGTTTCTCATCATATAAATAGTTCAGGTCGCTTCTTCTAACTAATTTATGGAGAAGTATTTTATGAATTTGAGGTGGAGAGGGAAAGAATGATGTTTCTACGTTTATTTGTGTTTTTATACATCATTTTTACCTACAGGAAAAAAAATAATTTCTCAATTTTTAATGGCTCTTTTACTTACTTTTTTTTTATTTGCCATGGTGAGGTGAATTCTTTTTTGCTATAACTTGAAATCTATGGAAATTTATATTAATTTTCATTCTCATATTTGTGATCAACCAGCTTCAACAATTAACCAGTTTCAAAATCATATTTTTGATATTTTACTACCTATAAATCTCTGAAAGAAACACTTCCAACAATTAAACGTATACTCTTCGGAGCAAGCTTACTACAAAGCTATTATAAATCTCGAAAACTAAGTATTGATTGGACACGACAAACAGAGGACATCAATAAATCATCTTACTAATATTTAAACTTATTAGGATGCTTTTATATTTTGTCTAACATTTACTTCAAGATATATATTTGATCAAGTTTATTTATATTTAATAAGTAACACTTATAAAACATTTCTAAAATTTTCAAACACTTCTAAAACGTACCGGGTTAAATACAATTTCTTTTTTTACCAAATACAAACATTTCTATGATCATACTTATAAAACATTTCTAAATTCTTCAAACATTTCTAAAATATCGGGCCAAATGCAAAATATTTTTTTTCAAATACAAACATTTCTAAGATCTATAGATATATTGGGCCAGGGTCGCGCATTGCGCAACCAGACATCACTAGTATATTATATATACATATTATTATACTAAGAGAGAAACCAGAAAGAGAAACAAAAAAAGATTTCTAAGGGTGCCACATAGCATAAAATCATATGTGCTATTTTTCTAACAAATGATAGAAATAAAAGTTTATGCAATTACACTAAAAGTCATTGGAATTTAGTGTAAATAAATTTCATCACATCTCATTTAAATCATTAGTTGCAAATGGAAAGATTGGAAGAGTTAATGCGTGATCATAAATCAGCGTTCAATCTTAATCCTAATCAATTAATGCAATAAAATCCATTCCCCCAGCAAATTCGAATATTTTGATTAAAAAATCAAACAATTCAAAAAAAAAATAAAGGATCAATCTATCAACGTTAATGCCATATAAATTCAAAAAGTAAAATTAATACTGATATTAACTTTTTAACTAATCAAAATTAATACAGTTTTTTTTACTCGGTCAACTCAAAATTATGGTAAGTATTCATTATAGTTAATGTTGATTTTTTTAATTAGTGTTGATTTTATCAATACAAGGGTAAGAATTATGGTTAATGGGAAAAGTTAAAAATTTAACATTAATCAAATTTAATGCTGAATTTTTTTTAATCAGAAAGTTGAATATAATCAATCTATAGTATTTACAGTATTATACTAAGAGAGAAACCAGAAAGAGAAACAAAAAGAAAAAAAAGATTTCTAAAGTTACCACATAAGATAAAATTCTATGTGTCATTTTTCTAACAAATAACATAATTAAAAGTTTATGCAATTACACTAAAAGTCCTTGGAATTTTATGTAAATAAATTTTATCACATCTCATTTAAATCATTAGTTGCAAATGGAAAGATTTGAAGAGTTAACATGCGGTCATAAATTAACGTTCAATCTTAATCCTAATCAATTAATACAATAAAATCCATTTCCCCAGTAAATTCGAATATTTTGATTAAAAAATCAAACAATTACAAAAAAAAAATTTATAATAGATCAATCTATCAACATTAATGTCATATAAATTCAAAAAGCAAAATTAATACTGATACAAACCTTTTCACTAATCAAATTTTATACAAGTTTTTTTATCCGGTCAACTCATAATTATGGTATGTATTCATTATAGTTAATATTGATTTTTTTTAAATTAGAGCTGATTTGATCAATACTAGGGTAAGAATATGGTTAATGGGGAAAGTTAAAAATTTAACATTAATCAAATTTAGTTCTAAATTTTTTTTTATCAGAAAGTTGAATATAATTAATTTATAGTATATTATACTAAGAGAGAAACCAAAGAGACAAACAAAAAAGATTTCTAAAGATGCCAAATATGATAGAATTCTATGTGTCATTTTCTCAAATATTCTTCCAAAAAATACTAAGCGAAATTATGAATAAGTCCTCCTATTACAAAAAAATAAAAATAAATAAAAAGGACAAATTTTCCAAAAAAAAAAACTATTATCACATTTCATCAAAATCTCGACACATAAACGAAATTTAAAATTTGAAATAATTTATTACCATAATGAGAATTAAATGTGTTAATATTTTATATAATTTTTATTTTGATTATGACATCTTACTATTTTTTGGTATATAAAAAATTATGCAATTAGCATTTAAACTCTATCTTCAAATTTAAATATCATTTAATAACAAAATTAGAGTCACTTAACTAGATATAGAAAATAATAAACAAAATTAATGATAAAATTCGAATTTGAATTTTAAGTGACAAAGTGTCTATCATAATCAATTACTGGATTTCGTGTCTATTGTAATTAATTTCCAATTCAATTATACCAAAAATCTTGGGGATGATAAACTTTCAAAGTTATATATACCCAAACCAAAACGTGTCATCATGAAGGTAAAATTTTAATCTCTCTCTCTCTCTCTCTCTCTCTCTCTCTCTCTCTCTCTCTCTCTCTTCTCGCTTTTTTTTTTAATTATTGTTGCCTCTATGTTGACTTGTGATAATGGTGGAATTTTATATCATAGCAGCTGCATTTGAAGAGACAAAAAAGAAGAGATAAAACTTATCATTGACTTAATTTGGTTATTTATTCTTTAAAAACTGACAAATATTCTCGGAGAGGCTGTTGACATAATACTATACAAACTCTTTTTTTAAACATGTTTTGCAGGCCACAACAATGAATTCTCTAAAAGTATGATGGATGATGTCAATATCATTTTAATATCTTTAAGTTATTTGAATAAATTGCTATTGGATGAAACTGAGATATTTTTAATTTGATTATGCGATACTATTTATTATTATATTGGTAATTTTTTTCGGTACAATTTATGAAATACTTTCATTATGACATATAATTATGATGACAAACTTACATAAGGTTTAGTCATAAAATTAGTTAATTATTTTTTCATGTATCACATTTTACTTTATTCAAAATTTTAATAATTAATATTTCACAAGATTTATATATATGTGACCAACTTTTTTATATTTCATAAAAAAATCACAAAAGTATTGTGATAGGGTTTAACATCTAGTAAAATAATAAACGAAGATAACGGTGATGTTGGAAATAAGATGAAACCGGAAATGATATGAATGAAATAATATACTCCATCCGTCCCATAATTATTGTCCAGTTTTACTAAAATGAAATATTTTATTTTTGGTCAAACTTAACTATATTTTACCTTAAACAACCGGATATACCCCTAAATAAGTAATTGTTTAACCACTAAGATTTTATGGATAATGTTTTTTACTAAGGACAAATGTGTAACTTGATCCATAAAAAGTCAAATTGGACAATAATTTTGAGACAAATTTTTTTAGGTAAAGTGGACAATAATTATGGGACAGAGGGAGTATTTTTGTCTGTTATAGTATATATTTAGTGTTCCCTCTGGTTTCTAATCGTATTCATAACCTACAATTTTAAACTGAATTTAATGTTAATTTGTGTGTTATATTTAGGGTCGGAAATTAGAAAATACAGTTCTGTACTAAATTTGATTTTGAACCGTCTCTTACAAATAAGACAGGACCGGAGATGGCTGTTATCTCAGTTGAAAGTGCCAAATCAGTTACTTATTCAGGTATACACCATATGGATTGGATATTCCAACACCTATCTACCTTGGTAAATTTGGAAAAGGAGAGCAAAATTTACTTTTCAGATTCAGTTTGGCATGAATATTCTTGACATTTTAATATTTCAGTCTCATTTTAATATTATTATATTAGTATTTCGTCAAATTTTAAATGTACAGTTTATTGTGATTTATTAAAACGACAAGAAAGTATTCGACCCAAAAAAAAAAAAAAACGAGAAGAAAGTAATTCACTGCTGAAAGTATCCAAACTCCGAAAGTCCACGGGCGCTCATCACCCAGCGCAGGCTCCCAGTTCCAGATAACGTGTCAAAAGAAAGTACAAAAGTGCAAATTTACCCTTATGTTTTTTCACCAGACCCGCCGTTTATACGTGTAAAATTGTTGTATTCCCAGGGGTATTTACGAACCCATTGCCGCGCGCCCTAATTTCATCCATAATTGGGGTTTTCTTTTCCGCCTCGTTTCTTAATTCGTATCTGACAGATCTTTTTTTCTTTCGTCTCTTTGAAATTCGTTTACTCTGTGTTTTTTTTTTCCTCTTCCCATTTTTGTTAATTTAAAAACTAGTTTTGCGTTAGCTTTAGGGTTTTTCAGCCTCTTCGATTCAGTATTAACGACGGGAAGACCGGGAGAATTGTTTCTGGCGGTGGCGGAGAATGGGAGTGCCGGCATTTTATCGGTGGTTGGCGGAGAAGTATCCGTTGACGGTGGTGGATGTAATAGAGGAGGAGCCCGTGGAAATTGAAGGTGTTAAGATTCCGGTAGACACCAGCAAGCCGAATCCGAACAACCTCGAGTATGATAACCTCTACCTCGACATGAACGGGATTATTCATCCCTGCTTTCATCCTGAAGACAGAGTAATTTTTCTTTTTCTTTTCTTCCTCCCGGATTTTGTTTTCTTTTAATTTAATTCTATGAACTTATTTGTATGACTATTTCAAGTCATAAGAAATTCTTAGTTGTTCTGTTTTTAGCTTAGTATGACCGGTTAATTATGTGTAACGGAGTATTTTGGATATTTTTGTTGCATTGGTTCATTGATTGAAACTGTATACGCTAAATTTTGCTTAAGTATTTGAGTATTTAGATGAAATTAGGTACTTAGCAATAATATTTTTCTTGGAGGCATACCGTGGGCCCGCAGATTGTTTTGTGCGATTGAGGTTTCATGGTAGAAATTTAAATATTGATATCTTTTTTTGTGCAGCCTTCTCCAACCAGCTTTGATGAAGTGTTTCAATGTGTATTTGACTACATAGATAGGCTATTTGTGATGGTTCGGCCTCGAAAATTGTTGTACATGGCTATAGGTTTGTAAAACTGTTGTTTTTTTTAAGTGTTTTGAAACCTTTAACGGAAGTGACAGTATTTAGTCTGATTACTGAATGTGACTACTCTTTAGATGGTGTTGCTCCTCGGGCAAAAATGAACCAGCAGCGCTCTAGGCGTTTTAGAGCTGCTAAAGATGCAGCTGATGCGGTATGCAGCTTCTATTGTTTCATTTTAATAAAGTTGAACCTTTTCGTTTGAACTTTTCCAATTGTAGGTCATGATTATTTTTTCTGGATTCTTTTTCATGTCTAGAAAGCTGAAGAGGAAAGGCTGCGAGAGGAGTTTGAGAAAGAAGGTCGGAAGCTGCCCCCAAAACAGGAATCACAAACTTTCGACTCCAATGTCATTACACCAGGAACACCATTCATGGCTGTTCTGGCAGTTGCTCTACAGTACTACATCCATCTTAGGTTGAACAATGACCCTGGGTGGAAAGACATTAAGGTATGGTTTGTTAAAATTTGTACAGTGAATTTCTTTATCATACATCTATCTACCATCTTGTTTTGCTTGGTTACCATTATGTTTGAAATGATTTCTGTACAAACTTTTTGAAGGTTATTCTTTCTGATGCCAATGTTCCTGGGGAGGGGGAGCACAAAATCATGTCATATATTCGCTTACAGAGGAATCTTCCTGGATATGATCCAAATACTCGCCACTGCCTCTATGGTTTGGTATGAACTTCCCTTCTTCTGCATTGCAAATTGAAGTTTTCTGTTGTACTGACCTGTATATGTTCATTTTGCTATTAAACAGGATGCAGATTTGATTATGCTGGCGTTAGCTACTCATGAAGTACATTTCTCAATACTTAGAGAGGTCAATTTTCTTCCTCCTTGCTTTGAGGAGACTTGATTTCATTCTTTATTAAAATATTACATTATTGTTTGTTGATGAAAGTTTCCGATTGTATGCTGCCATGCACTGGTAGTTCCCGCTGGGTAGATTAGGGGATGTGTGTGTGTGTGTGTGTGTGTGTTTTATTTATTTATTGTTTTATCATCTTATGCTGTTATGGAATTGATGTGGTTCCTCTTAATATACTTTCTAGGTGGTGTTTATTCCCGGGCAACAGGATAAATGTTTCCTCTGCGGTCAAATGGGTCATCTAGCTGCCAATTGTGAAGGAAAAGCCAAACGGAAAGCAGGGGAATTTGATGAGAAAAGCGAAGCTGAAATCACACCGAAAAAACCCTATCAGGTCTGTAATCTGTAGCAAACAAGTAAACTCTGCTGTTTTTGGGTTTGGATTCTATTTTAAGATATCATTACTGCTTCTCTTTGGTCTAATTTTTTTGGGGGGTGCTCTTTTGCAGTTCCTCCATGTGTGGATTCTTCGAGAATATCTTGAGTACGAGATGCGGATTCCAAATCCTCCTTTTCAGATAGACTTTGAGCGACTTGTGGATGATTTCATATTCATATGTTTTTTTGTTGGCAATGACTTTCTGCCGCATATGCCCACTCTTGAGATTCGGGAGGTTTGTTCATGGATAGCTTTGTTACTTTTCTCATTGTGGACTTGTTTTATTTGTTGAACCCTGATGTTGTCTTTCGGCATTTATGTTTCTATTCAACCAAGATAGTGGTGTGTTTATTGCTTTTATCCGATGCGCCATATTTCTTTAAGTTCTTCGTATGCCTACCTACCTAGGGTTTTGTATTTTGGTTTGAGGTGAACTTCTATGCTTTTATACGAAAGACTTCGTAACTTATGTGAAATTTCAGTCGTTTTAATGTTTTGCATGGCTGTTCAAAGGCAAAAAGGAAAACCATTATACCATTAAGGTAAAGGTAGCTAAGTGTGGGATTCCTTGGACAGCATAATCTATAATGTCTGTAGAGGCCGAGTTTGGAAAATAGAGATGCTTCTCATTCTATTTTAGTGTTTCCTTATGTTCTGCCAAACCATTTGACTTATCATATTGCAACGAAATCCTTGTTTTATTTGTTCTTTTTTTTTTTAAATACATGTCCTTGATATTGGGAAAAGTTTTTCCTTTAATCCTGTATGCTGTTTCTTTCGCAGGGAGCTATAAATTTGCTTCTTGCTGTGTACAAGAAGGAATTTAATGCCATGGGCGGGTACCTGACGGACTCGAGCAAGGTATAAAGTTGTGATTCTTACTTTTTAGTTTGAGTGCTCTGGAATTTGGTTTTTGCCGCAATGGTTCCCTGATAGTAATTGTTTCTTTTATCAGCCAAATCTCAGCAAGGTGGAGCACTTCATTCAAGCTGTGGGTTCATACGAAGATAAAATATTTCAGAAAAGAGCTCGGCTGCATCAGGTATGTCAACTCTGGGATTTCGTTGCAAGTTATTTCTTGTTTTTTTAATTCTGCTTGATTTCTTTTTGTGTTTCTTCTTGAGGGAAATCCATCAGTGCTTGTAGTGTTGTTGACGTTTTTGTATGCCATTCTGTAAATACATCTTGAAAAGGATCCTGTAGAGTTGACTGCTTATTTTGGCTCTTATCTTATCATTGCTAGCTAGCTATTAACAAGCGTAAACCAGGACTGTCTCCACTTTCAAAGCTTATCAATTTCATTGTTATCTAATGTGAACTATGGTTGGAACATAACTTCCTCGGCATCAGGGTTTCTGATCAAAGTTTTAAGTGTACTGTTAGCATTTAAAAGGGTCCTCTTCTGAAAAAATTGTCTAATACTTTCGAAAAGAAATAATTCGCTTGGTCTCCATGCAATGATTATCTTCAAATACTTCTCACAATGGAGTGAAGTGTAAGAGTTACTATCTATTGATGGATAATGGGATTGTGTGTCCAGTAATTTGTACCTTTTAACTTTCCAGAGACAAGCTGAAAGAATTAAGCGTGACAAGGCTCAAGTTAAAAGAGGAGATGATTCTGCACCACAAACTATGCCTGAATCTTTGGTCCCTGTTGCTCGATTCCAAGGTTCTCGCCTTGCGTCCGGTCCTTCTCCTTCTCCTTATCAACAGTCTGGATCTCGTAAGAATGATCAACCTGGGAATGCCACTGCAAGTATGTCTATTTTGGAGATTCAATGCAACCAGTCTGGGACTGGGGGTAAACAAACTCACACCCGGCCCCACAAAGTTGCGCGTTCAACTTTAGGGGCTACAATTGGAGCAGCAATTGTTGAAGCAGAGAATGATCTTGAAAACGAAGTATGTTTTCCTGCTTCTAGAGAGGCACTTTAATGCAATTTTTATGCCACCTTTTCTTAGGGGGTTCATCCTAGGAATCTTACCGTGTTTATCATTCTGGATTCCTCTGGAATTGCTTTCTAGCCTTGACGGCTATGGAATTTTTCTTTTAAGCTTATTTTGAGAACTTAATGGATGGATTACCGTAACCATCATTGTTGTAAATTTTGTTTATCTTATATGTAATGTGTTAGTAACATTTTAAGCTTGGATTCTTTTTGTAGGCAGAAAACAAAGAAGAGATGAAAGCAAGACTAAAGGAGGTACTACGCGAAAAATCTGATGTCTTTAGTTCAGAGACGCAGGAGGAAGACAAGGTATAAAATGGAATGCTTTTACTTCCCTAATTTTACATGTGTCCAGAATCACTCTGAAAAATTGTTTTTAGTTATGGAATGTCATCTATGCAGTACCTAAAGATCATTTCACTGGCAATGATTGTTTGCGTATTTGTAGAAAATTATATTCTTGCGACTAAGGAGTGTATCTTGTTTGGGCAACTTCTTAAGCGCTTGGGGTTGTGCATTTTCATTCCTTTTGGCTGTATATTTGCAAAAATAACATGAGTTTTTAGTTTGTTGTGCTCTTTTCAAAAAAAAAATAAAAAATTATGAAATTACTTGATCCATATGCTGAAGTCAGTCTATTCAAATTTGATCTCTTTGACTGTAACTCCATTTTGGTTATGACAGATCAAACTGGGTGAGCCAGGATGGAAAGAAAGGTATTATGAACAGAAGTTTTCTGTGAAGACCCCTGAGGAGCTTGATGCAATACGGAAGGATGTTGTAAGTTTTTTTGTTAGAATATCGTGTTCATCTGGTATCTTTTTGTAAGTTTTTGAGTTTGAGTTTGAATGCAAATAATGGAAAGTTGGCTAAGTAGGTAGTATTGAAGTCGTTAGAGTTGATAACTCATCAATTCTTGGTATTGCTTGGGGATTTATTTGAGGTCTTTTTTTTCTTGTTGCCAGGTTATGAAGTACACTGAAGGGTTATGTTGGGTTATGCACTACTACTATGAAGGAGTTTGCTCCTGGCAGTGGTAAATTTATTTTCTTTTTGCTTTATTGCTTTTGATGATCTATACCTGTTATCCTACAGTTATGGGTTGGGTTAACCCTTCAGCGGTTATCTCCTGTTTGTACCTTAGATTTGGGGCGGGTGTACTTTGCGCTTCTATCTATTGGAAATTCTTCCTTAAATGTGAATCGTACTGCTTTCTGAGTTCTAAAATGGAGCACATCTTAACATGCCTGGAGTTTCACCTCTTAATGAGAAGGCATCGTTGTATTTCTGTTATTACTTATTCGTGAGTTGCTTTGTGACGAATTATTTTTTCAGGTATTATCCTTACCATTATGCACCCTTTGCATCTGATCTGAAGAATCTTGGCCAGCTGGATTTAAAATTTGAACTTGGAACTCCATTTAAACCATTCAATCAACTTCTGGGAGTTTTCCCTGCTGCTAGTGCTCATGCTCTCCCTGAAACTTACCGGAAATTGATGACTGATCCAAACTCACCTATTATTGATTTTTATCCTATTGATTTTGAGGTGGACATGAATGGTAAACGGTTTGCATGGCAGGTAGGTGGACATTTCATTTTGCGATGTCTGTGTACATAAAAGGTTGATATATGGCCTGACTTCCATATGTTATTTCTTATCCAAGGGTATCGCAAAATTGCCTTTCATTGATGAAGCCCGTCTTTTGGCTGAAGTTGCCAAAGTGGAACACACTTTGACGGTAAAGTTGCATTTTCATTACGAAAGGATATGGTATCCGTTCTTCTTTACTGCTTTGAACGAGCTATTTTTCTTTCTGCAGGAGGAAGAAGCAAGGAGAAACAGTGTGATGTGTGATATGCTTTTTGTGTCTTTAGCTCATCCCCTCTCTCCATATATTTTCTCTCTCAATGATCGTTGTAAGCAGCTTACTGATCAAGAACGAGTCCAGATGAAGGAACAACTTGATCCTGCAGCCAGGTCAGTATGGTTATTTTTGCTAGTTTGCTGCCTTTCTACAAGTGCTTGGGTGGACCGGACTTCACATTCAAGGTCTTTTGACCCTCTCAAATATTTTGGCTCCGCAACGCTTTGTTTCAAATTGAACTTACTTTTCACATAACCATCCCTCAAAGTAGAAGTGTAGATACTCTTCTGCTATGATTGGGAAGAACTCTGTTTGCTTTTCAAGTGCTGTTCAATTCTGTTGCTTTTGTGATTTTGAAAACTTCATGGACACTCATTCTGATTTCTTAGGTTTACATGCAGTGGTGGGATGAATGGTTACATATCCCTGTGCTTTGGAGATCCATGTCCACCAATTTTCAGATCACCTGTTGATGGAATGGAAGACATCATGAATAACCAAGTCATGTAAGTAGGATTTTGTTACGATACAAAAGTTCCATCTTTTCATTCTGTTATCTTTACGTTTCATTCTACTTGTTGCAGATGTGCCATATACAAACTTCCTGAAGCTCATAAGCACATTACTCGTCCACCTGTTGGGGTCATTCTCCCAAAGAAGGTACTGCCAGATGACAATTATTGGTTGGGTGGCATTTTCTTTCCCCATTACATGCCTATTTTTCGATCTTTTGATGAAATGACTGTAGACTTGTTGTATCCAGTCCATGGGAATGCTATGTCCTCTATGCTTAATAAGAAAATGTCCAAAAAGTTTACCAGCAACAGAAGATATATAAGCTTGTGTTTATGGTCAATGAAAATTGAATTCTGGTTGATCATTCCTTTTCGCAGACGGTGACAGTAGAAGACGTGAAACCAGATCCTGCACTCTGGCATGAGGATTCTGGGCGGAGACCAATGGACAATGGAAGGTATGTTGATCTTTCTTCTTTTTTTATCCTCTTCTTTTCTACATTCATAGGAATCCTGTGAGGGAGGGTGTTGATACAGGGAAATCTTACAGGCATAACAATAACCACCACCACAACCCCAACCACAACCACAACCACCACCACAACCACAACCACAGTCGAACAGAGATTTCTGGTCATCAGCTTGGCGATGCTGCTCGTCGATTAGTGACAAATAGTTTGCAGTTAAGGGTAGACAGAAACAATTTTGGAGATCAAGGCTATCTCCAGCCTCCAGGGTTCTCTGCTGCACCGTATAACCATGGTCTATCCCACATGGCATACCAAAATGATAGACAAAGTGGCTGGGTTCCCGGTATGCCAAATCCAAGTAGTACGGGTCCCATGCGAAGTCAGTATAATCAGGGTCAGGGTTACAGACAATCACATTCAAGGGAGTATGATCAGCAAGGATACTATCCCGCGGGAATGCAGCAAAGGGGGCCAACTGGAATCCAGCACGGTGGAGGTGCTGGTAGATATCATTGGCAAGCTCAGCACGGGCCAGGAGCACCAGTTCCTCCACGCGCTAATTTTTATCAGCCGCGTGGTGGATATGGGAATTACGAAGCACCCAATGGGGTTGGTGGCTACAATAACTCAGCTGCTGGAGGCTGGCCCTCTCAAGGTGCTGGAAGGCAGCATAGTCATCCCCGTCATTCAAGTCATCAAGGCAATACATTTTCTGCCTTGGACCGGGGATCCCATAGAAGACAAGATAATCGTCGATAGGAAATGTATTCCAGTGGTCAGTTAGTTTATTGTTTGTATTTTTATTCTTATCCTTTTTTTAATGAAAATTATTCTTTTGGGTTGTACGTGATGATGTACTATAGGTACTAGAGAGTGATCAGAATGGTACAATACGAAAGTAAGAAAATCATAGAGATCATGTAACTTAAATCGGATTAGGTATTGATTCATATTGGTTAAGCTTTGTAATGTTCGTATAGGTGCCTTGTAATAATTCATATGGTGAAGTGTGAGAATGCCTCACCAGTTTCAATTCAGATTTTAATTTCCAGTTTTTCAAATTGGAGTTTATTTTTCTTTCGTCTAGCCTCCTGTTTTCTACCTTCTGAACGAAGTGTAAAAGGTCAACACCCGTACGGTATACACCTGCGGCGATTGGGTGTTGTAAAAGTCAAACGTGTTAATTTGAATTGAACTGTTTTCTCCCCAAAACTTTTAGTCAAATTTATGATGTCAAAGATTCAAAAGTGCTATGAATATGACTTATTTATTTGGCTATTGTCATGTAAATAACCTCTTCGAACATTAGGTTTGAAGGTTGTAATATTCAAGTTGCAGGTTTGCAACATATTCAAGTTAAGGTTCCTTTTACTTTACTCTACCTAGTGGATGACATTAGGCAAGTTTGTAACAGCTTTTAGTTATTGTATGTTTGTCAAAGTAGATCGGTTCTTAGTGGAGAGAATGCTCATAAACTTGCTAGGGCAGCTCTCCGAACTGATTAAAATATGTAATCCTGTTTGTGTACACATGTGAGTTTTGTTTGAATATGCACATGCTTCAAAAAAAAAAAAAAAAAATCCTCTTCGAACGAGTCACTATTCAAGCCATGAAGGCAATTCATTTTCTGCCTTGCATAAAACCTCTTCGAACGAGTCACTATTCAAGCCATGAAGGCAATTCATTTAAGCGGTGCACAATACAGTATATCAACTTAAATCATCGAATGATGTCTATTGGTGCAATTGTGTTAGAAAAGATTCATAATAATACTGCATGCCTTTGTTTTGTTTGACTACAATAGTACTACCATTCCAAAATAGATATTGTTAGAGAAAAACTTTATTTTCTTTTTTGAAATACACGTTCTTTATGCATATTAATGCATATTTTGTCAAAATCTTCCAACATTGCCCCCACATGATAAAATAGTAATTGTGTTTAAAGTAAAAGAATATTATAACTAAATAATATTAAAAATAGAATTGAATTGAGAGTAAATGAGCGTAATTTAGTATTTAACCAAATATTGATTGTTTTCTTGAATTTTGTGAATCCAAGACCACTGAATCAAAATTGGAGAATAAATTGAACAAAAGGTCAAAATGAGTGGACGGAGTTTTGAACCCGAGACCACTCGATAGGAATGAAATTAAGAAAATTAATATTAGCTGTGGGAAAGCCTGTATGCCAAGGGTCGTTCTTCACCTATCCATGTCAAAGTGAGTGAGAAATTATTCCAGAAGTTGACTAAAATAAAGGTATTGTACTGATTTATGCATGCGCAATTTTGTAAAACATTCCTCACTTCTTGATGTGTATGCTACTTATGACCCAACATCAGGATTCTTTTCTGATTTCTGCATATTGAGATATCTAGAATTCGTTCTGGAAGCTACTTGAGAAATGATGTTCAATTATTACTTGTTCCTCACCCTTTGTCATATCTTTTCATGTTTGTTGAGCTCTCACGTTCTTTGTTGTTTCAATTCGAGTTTCTTCAGGTTTGGGTTGAAATGTCAGAAAATGCACAAATAAGAAGTCTGCTGTTAGTGTTGAAGCAGATGTCCTCTACAGTTTGCAGGCTGAGGTAGTTTTGGCCCATCTCGAACCTGTCATTCTTCCAGGTTGTTTGAGTATTTTATGTTATGTTTCTTCTGTCTTTCAGTTATTGGAACTTGAAGTCCAACTTCCTGAAGGTGAACTCTTGTTGGACTTGATAAGCAAAGTCGAATCTTGCGGTTCTCGGTGCTGTGAGGTGTTGAAAGATTCTATTTGCCTACAGTGATGTACTTTATTTACTTCTACTTTTGGTGTGAGCTTATTGTTTGGTTCATATTGTGGTATGCAGTGGAAGAGTTGCCTCGTATTGGCATTGAGTTAAAAAAGGCTTGTTGCAGGGTTAAAGTTCTTAAGGTATTGCTTTCTTTCCAATTCCTTCAGCACTGTTAAAAGTTTTTCTGTTCATAATTCTGAGAAAACATGGTTTAAGAGTTACAAACTTGTCACCTTGTTTTCCTCCTCTTTGCCTGGGGAGGGATTTGGAATATAACAAAACTTTAGTTTCAAAATTTCTATTTACTTGCCATTTGATCCACTTTTTCTTTTTCTTCCCTTTTTTGCTGAAAACTTACTGAGCAGTTCTTTTTGGTCTCTGTGCAGGCACTTGAATCCAAAATGACTTCGGATTTCCTTGAGCAATTAATAGCAGAGGCCAATGTGTATGTTCTTTTTTACTTGTCCATTAAAAGATTGTTCTATTCTTCTACAGTTATACTTATAATTCTTGAACAAAATCTTTCAGGCTGCAGATTGAAAAGGAGAAGCTGTTCGTTGATATTTCTGAACTTGCAGTTGAAATGGTTTGGGAAGAAAGAGCAAAGGAAGTCCTTAGTAATGAGGCAAAGATGTCTGAATTTGAGGATATTTTGAGGTGTTCTATCTTTCCCTACACTGTTTTGTTGAGATGCTTTATGATTTTATTTGGAGGTTCATAAGTTACTTTGATGATGTAGGACTTCTGAGGGGATAATTCTCGGTCTACCTTCACTTAATGATGTGACAAATATTTTTTCAATGGCGAAGACCTGGTTGAGCAAGACCAGACCATCTCTTTCCTGACTCTTCTGTGTCACCTGTCTCAACTTCATTGCTAAAGCTTGGCACCTTAAAGGTTTGTCCTCATCTTGCGAAATACCTTCTTTCTCATAGATTCTGAAGTCATTTATATGAAACCTCCGAGAATTTTGCAGGAGTTGGTTTCAGAATCGTAGTTGCCGAAGATATCCTTGAGAGAGCGTGGAATGCTTCAAACCGTACTTGAAAACTACACTAAGTGGGAGGCAAATGCCAATTCTTTCCTAGATGATACAGTTTGTGTGTTGGATGATAATAGTGGACTTTCCACTGAATGTTTAGTTTTGAAAATCAAGCATCAAGTCTCATCATTAGATGCATTGTAGAAGCTGGTCTCTCTTTCCGCCTTGAGTTTGCTCTGATCTCAAAGCTGCAAGATGCATGTTCTACTCTCAGATGGTGCTTTAAAGGCCTTGCTGTCTGTGATGTGATTCCCGCTCTTCAGGTTGGTAGTATGCCATTAGCATTAACAATTTAATTCTTTTGTTAACATTTTCTGTCGATGGAGTAGCAAAGTTGCAACTGCCTTGCTATGGCGCCCAGGTCAGAAAGATTGGGCACAACAAGATTACGTTGACAAGGTTCTGGAACCAAAAGTATGTAACGAAAAGATCTATGGTGCTACTACGGATAATTGTTATCTCTGTGTATTTGAGCTGGTGGATCAAAAGTTGGTACTTACAAAGTTAGCGATGATGCCAAGTCTTGATGAAGAAGGAGAAAAATATGATACTTGCTTTGACTATATGGTTGGATCTTGTGGGGATCTTTTCTTGGTGAGGCCGAAAACATTAGGGGAATTAACCGACAGAATCAAATCTATATATGTCTACAAGCTTGAGAAGAAGTTTGACAAGACAAATCTATTATGGACTGAGGTGGAACATATCGATGATCGTGTATTCTTTGTCAATGATCATACCTCAATTTCATGCTCCCCCGCAGTGTCAACTCTGAAGGGAAATTGCATTTATTTCACCTTTGATCGCAAAGATCCTAACTTGTATACATATGACATGGAAGAAGACCACATTCACTCATTCAAACCATGTCCAAGTGCAGTCAACAAGCGGGGGTCAGCCTATTTTGTTATGTTTGGTTATTTCCTCTCAAGTCCAAAACCTAGGAAGAAGGGGGATTGTAATTAGCTCTCGGGTTAAGCAAACTTTTTTTTAGCATAACTAATTATCATTATGCTAGCTTGCAATGTGAATTAGTTGGAACTCAATAAAGGAATGTTAGAGAGAGGAAAATAGAATTGAAAAAAGTTAAAAAACTTTTTTTTTAATCGCTCGATTCTTATATGGATTTGTGAGCTTTCTCCCAAGACCTAATTTTATTGATAGATCAAATTATGTTGTGTAGGTGATTGCTTGTTTGTATTGTTGATTTTCTGTGTTTTCAGTTGTCGTTAGGGTTTTAATCCCCACCATACCATACCATTCAGCCTTAAAAGATTCATTTTTCTTAAATTTGTCTTCTTGTCGAGCTTGCTAATTTTGTTTCTTTTTTCTTTTTTTTTCCTTCGCCGTATATTGATCTGTAAAAGCAGCGGGCTTTTTGTTTCTTTTGCAAATGAGAAGACAAATTTAGAGCATCAATACCACCACACGTAGTGGATCTAGCTTAGGGTTCAAAGGGGTAATTTTTTCTGATGTAGGGTATTACTCTATCAGTTCCTAATCTATTTGTGATTTCCTTTTTGCATTTAATTCCTTTATTTGCAAATATTATGCACTCTGTCACATAAAAAAAAAAGAAGAAGCTAATATTATAAATCGTACTCCCTCTATCCCAAAATTATTGTCCAGTTTGAGATTTCACTTTTAATACAATTTGAACTAGAAATGAAAACCTAAACTATACAATAATTATGGATCGGAGGGAGTACTAAAAGTAGTGAACATATAATTCACAATATAGTTTATTTTCATGGGACGAAAAGTACAAATTGAAAGGGTCATGATTGAATTTCAAGGCCATCGTAATTGAACTAGAAAGCCCATCAAAAGTGAACAACGTCGCCGTGGCCATCAAGGAGTCCATCAAATTTGTTTCCAAAGTGGATAAAAAAGAACATCCATCATTTGTAAAATATAAGTAAAGCAGGAAAACGAAAAATTTATGTTCTAATATTTGGTTTGATTTTTTTTTTTTGGTCATTATTAAGAAAATAAAAGTTGGTAGGAACTCTCTTCTTTGGGCCATCTTTTGTCATTTTAGACATTTCTCCGGTCACAACTAATTTTCAAGTAAGCATTAGAAGATTGTATTTGGGGAAATCTCAGGGGTTCTTTGATACCTGTTTACATTTTTTTTTTTCACTAGTTTTAAATTTTCGACTGCAGAAAATACAACGAAAGGTATATATATATACGTATCCGGTATCCAGCCGCTGTCGTTACACCCGGGTGTCGTTTGGAGGGATGTGTTATAAATGCACCAGCCCAACATCCATGATAAAACCCGTGATTTGAGTAAATTCACCCCCCAGAGGTCCAAGTTATTAATAAAATATCGAGTACATATTCTTCTTCAAATGTCTCCATTGTGGTTCATAAACATTTCAACTCCATTACAGAACGTCACATTCTTGCAAAGTTCTCAAACAATCATGGGGATGGTTGTTCAAATCAAATCCAGCAAGTATATGGCCCTCTCTCCTCTCCAAGCAGAAGTCACAACACTGCTCTTGGCACTAAAAGAGGCCTGTTAACTGGACATCCAACAAATTCGTCAAATACTAAAAGTACCAAGAGATAGAGTTATGGAGATGCATAATATAGCACATAATCTAGCTAAATGTAATAGTACAGGATTAAGTTTATAAATTTCAGGTACCCTTCAAAAAAAAAAAAAAAAATTCTTGCAAAGCTCATATCATCCACCAAGTTCATTCGGATTCTTCTAATTTGAGCCATAACTATTGTTAGCTAGGTAGTAAGCATGTAGATAGATATATGTTCTTGAAATGGATGAATAATGGTTGTCTTCATCAGTTAGGTACATAGATCTGTATTAAGTACCGCGAGGATGCAGTCAAAATGCGGAGAGATTAGTTCAAGAGAATATTACATTCGAGACAGCAACAATCATTCATATCAGCCAAGCGTCTTTGTTCTCAACTTCTTATAGCTCTCTGTATTTGTGGATTATTCTTTTTTTTTTTCTTTTTATATTTCAATTAAACCCCATTCCAAGTCCAACGGTAATCGGAAACTTTCATTATACACAATTTGTCCAAGAAGCCCGAGTCGATTGCAGTATTGTGAACTCAGCTTAAGGCCCGATTATATTTGAAGTTTGGATATGGACCATCTAACATATTTAAATTACACTAGCTATGTGATCCATGATATTAGTGTTAGCAACTAAGGAAGGTCGAACACACATGATATAGACGTACCACGTAGGTTTCAAGAGTTTAGTATATAACATCCACTTCGAAGCCTTCAACAAGTTTGATGATGTCGATTCCTAGTTAAGCCATGGAGAAGAAAATTATTGTATAGATTTTTGGGGGCGTCTCTAACGTATTTTCGAATTCAATTTTAATACTTATTATTTATCATGTAAAAAAAATAAATTCATCCTAAAAGTATTGTTGTAGTTCCAAAGTTATTCAATTGGCCGAAATCTGTCTAACTTTGAATATTTCGTGGAAGTTTCGACCATTTCAAATATTTTACTACCTCCGTTCCAGAAAAAATAGTTTACAATAATTGAATTTTTAAATTTGTACTAAAAATAGTACAAAATTCAAGATTTGATGTACACTATTTGTTTGTTTTGGGACGGAGGGAGTATTATTCTTTCCCCACCTTCTCAAAATTATTCAATTGACCGAACTCTGGCTAACTTTGAATATTTCGTGGAAGTTCCGGCCTATTCAAATTTTTTATTATTCTTTCCCCATCCATTTTGCCCATAGAAGACACGATAATCTCCGATAGAAAATGTATTCTATGGGGGAGTTAGTTGTTGTTTGTATTTTTATTTTTGGATTGTACGTGATGATGTACTGTGGGAGGGTACTAGAGAGAGCAATCGGAATGTTAGAAAACGAAAGAATGGAAATCATAGAGATCGTAGGTTGAATACATCTAATCTTCTCAACGAATTGTTAAACGTAAATAATCAATTACTCAATCTGTTATGGAATTAAGGTTTAGTTTGGATTTTTACATTAATACAATTTTGAATTAAAAATAAAAATTTATAATGGACAATAATTTTGAAACGGAAGAAGTACCATTCATTTTATAATTTTAATCCGGGTTGGCTTGATGTGAGATTGGCTATATGAAATCGGGGATCGTGAATACCCTAAAAAAAACTTAAATGGAAACACTGTGACTACATATACATCTTTGAAAGGCTAATAATAAGGTGTAAAAAGATGAAAACTGAAGAAGTTAAACTAAGATCGCTGGAGGAATGTATGAGATGATGAGTCAAAATTGTGCATTTGTCGGCTGGAATCTTTGCAACCACCCCCCAACATAGAGAATCTTTTCTTCCGCAATCAATTCCAAAAAGAAACATGAAATTTAATAATATAGTAAGAAGCATTTTAATGATTTTCTGACACAATTTTGTGAAGAAAACAATAGCAAGTAGAAAATAAAAAGAAAAAAAAAATTAAAGGAGAAAGTCCGACATGATGCATGTGGATTAGTGATCTGAAATGGGTGTCTTCTTGAGTTGGGTACGTAGTATTAAGAGAGCGGACAGAGTCAAAGGGGAAGAAGAGATCAGAGAAGAGAAAAAATAAATAAATTCAGATGGCATCAATCATATCAGCCAAGCCCAAGCGTGTGCATCTATCATCTACCAGCTTATATTGGTTGTCCGGTGGGATCTTTTTCCAGCACTTTGTTGATTTTGTTGTTTTTATTGTAGTAGTTGTGTGTGTGTTTTTTTTTCTTTAATCCTTAACTAGTAAAGGACAAAAAATATTCTTGGATTTCCAATTAAGATTTGGATAATGTGAAACTTATCATTTTTTTAGTTCCTCCCCAACTATTTGATTAGATATTGTTTCCAAAAGAAGGAATCAATCAATAAGTTGATGAAACGAGAGCGGTGTTCGTGTGATCTGATCAATGTGAATGATGCCCAAATGTCCTTTCATTTTTTTAGATAATGGAGTCATTTTTACAAGAACTATAAATATTTATATCATGAATTACAACTTCTCATGGATTAAAAATATATGTATGCGTTAGGTGTTTGCAATGTTTTTATCACACACTATCTTGCGAGCATTTTTTTGGATGGACAGAGCAAATAATGTTGTTACTCAATTTTTTGTGCTCAGGAATTACAAAAATTACTTAAGGCTTTATATCATTCATATGTATGGAATGAACTTTGAAAACTTGTTATTCATGAAAATTCCTCCAAATGACGAACATTCTTCTTAGCCGCTTCTTTTTAATCTAAAAGGGTATTCAACTACTAGGACTTAGGGTCCAAGCAGCAAACACATAAATTTCGTAGCATCATTAAAGCTATATATGCTTTATTTGTTAATTTATTCCACAAAGTAAATTAAATTAAAGGCACCAGTTGCTGAATGCTGACTGCTGCTAATTAATGAAATTTAAATCTTCCTTTTATTCCTTTTGAAATTTGCCTTTTGCCTTTCCTTTTTCCCCATCTACTGATTCCGCGTCTAATCTTGATGATGCGGAGAAGAACTAAGAAAAATAGTTCTCCTTTAGAGGTTAGGCTTTTATATTCAACAATTGGCCGTTAGCTAAATAGGGTTTTGAAAACTTAATTACTTGGTTAGATTAAAGACGTCGAAAAACTTTTCAAAGAAAGCTAATGATGTTATGCGATTAAGATTGCCAAACTGGAAACTCATATATTTTGATGCTACAAACTAGGAGAAAGACATTCCCATCGTATTTCGTGTTGGTAGGTCAACAGTTGAAATTTTTTTGAGCAGAAATATTATAATTATTTTCACAAAAGACTCTAACATGCATATACATGTATCTTCTATAGTCAGTCTTAATTTTCATACTAGGATTTTTTTCGTTTTTTCAAAAAAGTTTATGCTTACTATTGTCATAAAACGGATCCTTTTTGTTTCTTTCTTTTCTTTTCATTTTTTGGGGTTGGTTTTGTTTCATGGTTT